AAACTTTGAAAAATACTGTATCAACCACAAGAATGTGCAATTTTCCTCCAGCTCCAGTGGTCAGAAGCGGGCTCAGTGATGTTGTTGTGGAATTGTAACAACCTTCCCCCAGTTACTGAAAATGCTTAATGAGATAAAATAATCATCAAATCATTTATTCTCTTTTTTTTCAAGCCAGCATCCTTGGATATGAATGAAGACCTTCCTCAAACAGGAAAGGAGAAGTTGAGTTGGTCATTTACAACCTTAGCTTCAAGGCAGAGCTAGAATTAGTTCCAAGATAACCTTGATCTTAGGCACTTTCTTCCAGAAGTAACAACATTTCTTCTGTAACAGTATACACATTTTCTGCAAAATCACACACCTGCAATGTTTTAAGACGGCTTATGGGAAAAATAGAGTTGAGGCTGTACACCTGCAACTTTATGACCAGAAGATGACAAAAAAGTCATTGGTACCTGGGAAGGAGGTTTGGACCACCAAAGCAGGCAGCTCAGTGGGATGCTAAAATGTACATTGAGCCTTCTAATTAGAATGGAGCTGGCAGCTGCTGAGACAGCGCAGGTGGAGGTGGAGCTCTGAGCCAGTGGGGCAGCCATTAACGAGTGTGTGCCGCTGGGAATGTGGAGGAAGGGACCTGAGTGCAAGTACCTGCTTTCCCCTAACATTTTATTATGAAAAAATTTCAGAGATACTGAAATGTTGAAGAAGTTGTATAGTGACCACCCATGTATCTACCACCTCGATTCCCTACAGGCACTTGATTTTAATTTTTAAAAAATACAGCTGAAGGGGCTTTTTCTTTTCCTGCAGAACATTTTCATTCCACTCCTGCTTTTTAGTTCCCTTGCCTTAGAAAAATCAGATTTGAACCAAGTGTTCTTATGTTTACTGATATCGTTCCCCCATTTACCAATTGTACATGAGCTAATTTGCATTATAGAAAGGGACATCATTTTAGCACTACAGGCTGTTGCTCAAGTGTGTAGAGTGTGTATGACTGTCTCTCCCTGCTCCTCTCCTGCCCCATTTATTATACCAAAACGTGTGGGGCAGAGAGAGCAGAGAGCTCTTGCATCTTTTCCCCCAGACCAGTGATTATCTGATGTTTTCACCATTTCGGTGCTTTTAAAGATCTTAAACCTTTCTTAGCCATACATTTCCACCTTCCCATGGAACACTCAGTGAGTGTCTTAATTTTAGTTCATGTATATCAAAATTTTGGAACTCCTTAAAAATATACTTTATGTACCCACTGATGGGTAGTATTTAGTCTCCAAATGAATGGAAATATTTGGAATAGTAAATCATTAACTTTTAGAAAGAAGGAGAAGGCTGGTAAGGGTGGATCTGATATTGGCTCTTGGGGAGGACACCAGCAGTTAATTAGTCCCTCTTTCACCAATTCTTAGAGGGAGAGAATAACTTGAGATCTGGTGACTTATATGGGGGACCCATAGCAGATACAGGGGTAGCTTACGTAAGTGGAGGACAGATAAGTGGAAGAACCCCAGTGATGTGCATGGTACCATGAGACTGTAGAGAAGCACATGGGATGGGCGTTACACTCATGGAGGGTGGCTAAAAAAACAGGGAGAGTTTGAGGGCTTTTTTGAGAGCCAAGAAGGGATCTGTACGAGGCTGTCACGTATCATGTCTGAATAAGACAATGCCTTCTTTCTGTGTGGCATTGGTGGCACTGTTTCTCAGAACCTGTGACTGGCTCCAGATACGGTCCAGCAGCTCTGCTGCCCAGAGCTCCTCACGGGTGCTCTGGGGTGAGTCAATCCAGGGGTCTGTAACTGTGAGGGGTGAGAACATGTCACCCTGATGCCCTTTCTCTTTCCCCAGATCGGGCCCAGCACAGGCAGCGTCAGTGCAAACTTCCCCCACCCCGTCTTCCACCCATGTGTGTCAACCCTGCCCCTGGAGGGACCATTTCTCGAGGTAAGGGAGGAGCCATGCCTCCAGCACCAGGTTGGTCCAGGGACTGTGGGGAGGCGGGTGGCAGCAGGACCCCGGGTGCCAGGGCTATAGGCCTCTGGAAAGTGGGTGAGGAGTAGTGGGGTTAGCAGAGCTCTTGGAGCCCTCAGGGAGACATCATTTGGAAAGGTCTGGGTGATTTCATGATGCTGGCCGCTTGGCTTAGACCCTACAGTCTCATCGGGCCTCCTGGTGTGACCAGGAATAAAGCCTAGGCTCAGTCTGGGTGTCTGGCACCAGTGTGGAGAATCAGAGGGCTTGGACCTTCTAGGCAGTCTCTGGCTCAGGTGCCTCAGAAAGTTCAGGGCGCTTGTAGCAGGGCCAGAACAGAGAGCCTGACTCGGCCTAGTGCCCTCCATCTTGGAGGCTTTGGGGATGCCCGACAAATCACTTCCCTATCTCCCCCAGCACCTCAAAGCACTTTACTGACATTAGAATCTGTCTCTCAGTCCAATTGGCAAGGTAGGCTGTCCTTTTGATTGGGGAGAATGTCAGAGCTCCTTGACAGGTGACAGCTGACCTCAGATCCCACTGGTACCCAGGGATGGGGCCAGTAATAGGACCCAGGGAAGCATCTCTGCCCGTGAGTGTCTCTTCTCTTCCCTCAGACTTAGATCTTTTCCAGGTCTGCTAAGACCAGTGCTCCTGATGGCCTCTTGTCCTGACAGCTGCTCTTCCCAACTCCATGGGCCACCTGTTCACACGCCTCCCTCAGTTTTTTAGTGGAAGAACACTATTATAGTTCATAGAGTCTTTGCCTTATTTGGAGACAGCATGTCCACTTTAGGCTCTGTCTGTAAAGTGCTTTGAAGGTCAAGAGCTCAGGAAGGGTGCGGGGAACACACAGCACCTCAGTTTCTGCAGCACACACTGCCGTGTTCCCATGTGGTTTCTACATGCACTGCCCTCCTGCCGCAGTGGCCCTGACTGTAGACAGCAGTATAGAAATAAGTACTTCTGGCCCCTGTGACCGTTTGACTTAGGTATTAAAGAAATGCCACCCCCTACCGTTGCCAAAACAAGAGTTGATTGCCCTTTTTTCTTTCTTTCTTAAAATGCCCTGTAACTCGAAAAGGCTGAACGTTAACATTTCCAACATGGCAGGTGAGTGGCTCTGAGAGTGTCAGATGTGCTTTGGCTAAGCTTAAAGACGGTTAGTTGGGATTAACCAGGCAGCATGGCTAGGCAGTGCCTCCTTGAGCACATGCAGAGGAGAAGGCTGCTGCTCTTGGGAGGGGCAGCTGCTCCCTGTGAGGCAGCCCAACAGACCTGCACTGTCTTCCCCAGAGGAAGACAGACACCCCCCTCCCCCTCCCCCCCAGCCTGACTGTCTCCTCGCAGCTCCACCTCCAGAAGGTATCTGGGTGTATGTATCTTTGCCTTCTCTGTCTTTTTTAAGCTATAAAGCCTTCTTGCCTCTGTTCCTTTATCACAGAAGCAACAATCTCTTAGTCCACGTGACTCTTGGACCTTTCTGCCATGCTTTCTGATTCCCTGCAGGCTTTGCTGGTACCTCTGTCCGGAAGAAGGAAGTGCAGGGCAGAAACAATCTCTCTGGTGTTCAAATAGGAAAACAATGCTCAGAAAATAGTGGCCACTTAAATAGGTTACAGTGCCCATCAGAGTCAGATTTGGAATTGGAAAAAAATATCACCTCCTTTCCCAATCTACCCTTCCCTCTATGGCCAACCTCTTACCAAGGCCACATTCCAAAGTAAAGGGTGAATAAATTAAGAAACTTGCCCCCAACCGTCCCCTGCGAATCTTCCCCACCCATGCAGATCTGAGATGTAGAGCAACTAGAAAGCAACATGGAGTAACACGCCTTCTGGCAGGATTCTGGGGACCACAGGACTGGTCCTATCCATTCCCTGATATAGACGTGTCACCTCTTGGTGTGGTGGTTTACCTCAAGGGACCTTGGGGCTATACATACATGGATGGGAGAGACGTGAGAATGTGTCGGGTGGTCAGGGTGGCCACCCAGCCCCTGTAGGTCCCCTTACCTTTCTTTTTCTTCTTTTTTTTTGTTCCCTTTACCTTTCTTGTTGCCAGCCAGGTGGACCATTTCTTGCCATTTTGACCATCCATAAAATATCTAACTGTGATTAAGTTGACAGAATTTTGGCTGAGATGTCTGGTTTTTTCAGCTGTCAGTGGTCGCTCTCACTTTCCCTCCACAAGTTCTCTGGTCTGCCCAAAGTCCATACTGTCTTGGGCTTCCTCCTGTTGCTTTTTCGTGGGGCCTCCAAAGTTTAGAATCCTACAACATCCTCCTGTGTATTCAGCAGATCCTTTAACCTTAATTCCATGCTTCTAGATGTCATTGTTTAGCACTTTGAGTACCAGACATTGTGCTTGATCCAGAAGTGATGGCGAGATCTCTGAGCCAGTAAACCCTTCCTTTTTTCAGAAGTTCCCTCCTTTTTCACAGGCAGAGGAGTCAACTTTCTCTCCCCAAAGAATGGAGAGTGGAAGAGAAAGCTTAATGTTGGTGGAAAGGAACCAGGGGCATGCCTGAGCCTCTTTAACTTTCTTCAAGGTCCTCTAAAGCAGGAGTCAGCAAACTTTCTTTAAGGATCAGAGAGTACACATTCCAGCCTTTGCAGGCCATATGGTTTCCCTTGCAGCTACTTAACTCTGCCATTATAGCATGAAAGCAGTAATAGATAATACAGAAACAAGTGAGTATGGCTATGTTCCAATAAAACTTTGTTTTTAAAAACAGGCGGTGGGTGGGTTTGGTCTTCAGGCTACATTTTGGCCACCCCTGCTCTAGACCAATGGGGAGATCACAGAACCAGAATGGTTCCAAGAGCTGGTGTAAGAGTTGCCCTCATTTTACAGAAGGCAATGAGGTCTGTGGAGGTGAAATATATGCTCAAGGTGACACCAGCTGTTAGAACCCAGATGAAGTAAATGAAATAGGAAAAGAGCGTTCAGAGAACCAACTAGTTGGTTGGCATCACCTGACCTTTTTTTCTACATAAAATCTCAAATATCTGTTTGAAATATGTTTTCTAAAATAGAGAAAATAGTATAGTAAATCCCTATGTACCTATCACCTGGCTTGAACAGTGAACAGCTCATGGACAATCTTACTTTGTGTGTATCTTTCCCCTTTGGCCCCTTTGGAAGCAAATCCATGAAATCATAGCATTTCAACCTTAGCCTAAGTGGCTGTCAGAGCAGAGTGCTATTCTGAGGGCTTCCTGAAACACCAAGATAGACCCAGGCCCTGCTCTGCAGATGAGGCTTAGGCTGTTGCCTCCTTCAGCTTTCAGACACCATAATTTTCAAAATTTGGCCTCAGCTACTGCTGCCACTCCCAGGCTTGCTAAGCTTCTGGATTCTTTTGAGGGAACTTGGGCTGCTAACAATCCTTGAAAAGTACTCCTGAAGCTGGGTGGATGCCTTAGGTTTTGGCAAATTAAAGTGCCACTTGGCCAAATTCAAAGCCTTTGTAAATCATGTTCTGCCCCAAGGGTCTTGCCATCCCTATATGGATGATCTGGGTAGGGGTGTTTGACATGGATGGTGATGTCCCTTTGTGACGTCAGACCATTGCTGCCAGGGCCACCTTCCCTTTTTTGCCCTTTCCTGGTTAAAAACCCACTGAGGAGGGAATGGAGGAGCAGGAGTTGAAGCTGCCCCATTTTGCTCTGGCTCTGCTTCTAAGGGACCTGTCCCCTGTTGTCTCAGATCTCAGAGGGCAGAGGCGTGTCTATCAGAGCACTCTGCAAAGCCCCCTTCCAAACATTCCCATTTTATATTAACCACAGTCATACCAAATGAGTAGAGCAGGTTTGTCCTAATTTCCCCCAGTGATAAAATGGCCCAAGGTTCACAGCTGACACGTGGTAGACTTGGGGCTAAGCCCAAGTGTTAGGACTCAAATCCCATGTTCTTGCCATAGGCCAGCAGTTCTGAGTGTGATCCCAGACCAGCAACCTCAGTATTATCTGGAAACTTGTTAAACATGCAGATCTTGGGTCCTATTCCAGACCTAATGACTAAGAAACTCTGGGAGGGTGGCTCCCAGTACTGTTTTAACAAGCTCTTCAGGGGATCATCGGAATCACATCTAGAATTATAAAACAAACAACAAACAGCCTCCCACTGCCAGCTGCACCCCAAGTGCACTGCCAACCTCTGACCAAGGCCTCCTTCCAAGAGATTGAGACCTTGAGGCCCTTGCTGTCACCGCCGCTGCCCCAACATGCAGATCCAGTCTGATTCCCACCTGACCCCAAACCCTGCTCCTCAGTGCCAGAAGAGGAAGAGGAAGAGGAATGAGCCTGGCCAGAACCCAGGTGTAGTAGTTTGGAAGCAGAATCCCATCTGGCTTTCAAACAAGCACAGAACAGCAGCTTCAGACTTTCACTGCTGGAACAGCTCAATTCTTGGGCATAGTGTCCAAGTTGGGTACTTTACATCTTTGACTCCAGCTCTGGAGAGTAAACCTGGTTTGCTTATGTTCAAGAGGTCTTCCCTGTCCTGGCTCCAGATTCTTCACCAGGTTTACTTTGTAAGCCATTAAATGAGGTGGCTGTGCCCCAGCTTAGCAATGATCTTACGCTCTGCTGGCCGGGAGTGCAGGCCAATTTGCAAGGGCATGTGGGAGGTATTTACCCGCAATGGGTAGGACCTAGAGGGAACTTCAAGTTCATTTCCTTGGATGGACATTAAGCTGAGGCCTGTACTGTTTCCCAAGAAGCCCCACTCTCTCTTCCTGCCTCAGCTTCAGATGACGAGTCTGTGGGTTGGATTTACTGGGGGAGTGATTTCGGCAGGGTTCCAGCCTTGGTCTGGTCGGCCCACCGGTTGACTGGAGCGTGCAGCGCTGGAGGCCCTGGGCTGCGTGGGGCGGTAGCCATGTCGGCTCGGTCCCGGGTCCGCCCGTCCGGCAGGGGGCGCGCGGCGCCCGGGCCGCTCGCTCCTGTCCTTCTGCCCTGTCCCTGCCGGGCTCCGGAGTCGCGGGGGCGGGCGGGAGCGAGATGGCGGCCGCCAGGAGCCTCATGGTGCTGGCCGCTGGCGTCTCTCCGCGCCTGCGGCCGCTGGCTCCCTACACCCCCGGGCGACAGGGACGCCCGCGCGGCCTCTCGACCGGCTGCATCCGCCCCGACCGCACGAAGGCGGCCGCTGAGGCTGAGGCGGGGGCGGCCCCCGACGGGCCTGGGGAAGGCGACGGAAGCATGGTGAACGGTGAGGGCAGGGGCAGCCAGGCTGCGACGCCCTTGACTTCGGGGGATGACAGAGCTAGGGGCGCGGGCTGGGGTCGGGCCCTTTCTTGTATGGCTGAGACCGCCATTCAGTGGCGGGCCGGAGCCCTGCTGTTGTAAAGCTCACACGGCTCAGGCCCAAATGGTCCCCAAGCGCGGAGGTTCTGGGACTGGAGCGCTAGCACCTGGCAACAATAGGTGATAGGTGCGTACCACAAGGGAGTTGGGGAAAACAGGTAAACGTCCAGTTCCTGCCAGGCCCGTGGTCAAGGGTTAGAGCGTCAAGGTTAAGCACATCCTCGCTGTTGTGAGAAAGGCAAAGAGCTCAAAATACATCTGAGACTTCAGAATCTCGAATAGAGACAGAGTGATTGCTCTAGTGGACCCCAGCGCGGTGCTTCCTGAATGGTGCAGGAAATGAAACTGGTAAGAGCATCCATGCCCATCAAGGATGGACAGAGAGAGCCAGCCTCTGCCCTATAGAGCTGGAGGGGGTACCAGGGCACGTCTGCTGTTATATGTGTGTCTAGTGGGCTACTTAAAGTTGGGTCCTCCTGTGGGATGGAACCCCTTTGAGTCTACTTACATACTGTTTCTCGACTACTCGATTCTCAGTTGCTTTACAAGTTAACATTTAGAGGGAGACGGGGCCAGGCAGAATCCTCCCTCGTGGCCAGATGACACAGGAGTCTGCTCCAAGGAAATAGCCTCAACCCAGGCAGCAGAGTTACAGCAGAACTCCTGGAGGAGCTTTTTCAAAATACAGACTTGCCTAACATCACTGCCATTCTCAGGTGCCCTGTGGGGATCAGGGTGGGCAGTGCTGCGAAGAAGCTCCCCAGGTGACTTATGATTGATGCATGCAGGTGCACAGGTGCATATATGTACCCCCTACAAAATTACTTTTTGGAGCTGAATTATAATGCTAGAGACTGTGGGTGGAGAATGAAAAGGCTTCCCATCCCTTCTGCTGGTCTCTGACTCTGCATCTCTTGAAGGTCCACTCTGGTGCTTTGGGGCTCTTCCTTTAGTTTTCAGCCACTCTCAGCAGGCTTCTTCATGGTCTAAGTCCAGTGTTTGGCACAAGCTGCTTCTAGGTGGACATCTCACCCATTTGTGCTCTGGGATTGATCCAAAGTGCAATAAATCTCTCACGGTGTTTGATGCATCCTGCCTCCACTTGGTTCACTGCAGTGAACTCCCGGGAGGAATAGCTCATACCCATGTCTAAGCTAAGGAGGTCTCTAATCAGTGTCCCTACACATAATCTGGCTCTGGGGTGGCCTTTTGCACGGTGTTGAGGTAGAGTTGAGAACTGGGGCCTGGTATTCAGACTCCGCGGCCAACCCTCCCTGTTTTGTGTCTGTTATTTTAGGAGGGGCCTTGCATTGTCGTGATCTCCACTGTGTGTGTGTGGTCGATTTTGTTTTTTGTTTAGTGCGTTCTTTCAGACATCAGATTGGGGGGGTTGTTGCCATGTTAGGCTTCTGTAGCTGATGTGTTAAGTTGGGAGCTTGGGTGGGGAAGAGGATCCTGGCTGGTTCCCCTCTGTGGTGTGGGGGGCGTTGGCCCTTCTCTTTCAGGAGATGATCGTGCATTGGCTCTAGCCCCACTGTCCTCTGTAAACCCTGAAGTCATTCTCCCTCCTTTTTAAGATGCTCCTGGGTGGTTTGGGATCATGAGCCAACATCCTCAGTATCCAGTCCAGGGTTGTCCTGATACACACCCCATGGAGTTTTTAGAAGAAAAAGCACAACTATAATGCTTTTGTTCTTATTCTCTTAGCTTCTAGGGACCTATTAAAAGAGTTTCCACAGCCCAAAAATCTTCTCAACAGTGTGATTGGAAGAGCCCTTGGCATCTCACATGCAAAAGACAAATTGGTCTACGTGCACACAAATGGACCAAAGAAAAAGGTAACTCTGCTGGTGGCAAGGAGACATGTTGGTCTGATTCTCTGGAAGGAGACTGGCTGCTCTTTTCTCTCTCAGATTTCTTGTCAGGGAGGCCATAGAGTGGGTTTTCTGAATTGAGAATGGTCAGCAGAGAATCTCAGAGCAAAGCTAAGTCTGGAGAAGAGCCTGGTTTAGGGAAGGGGAACATGGGCAAGTAAAGTGAGACGTTCTCATCTTGTGTAAGATAGGCCTCCTTACTGGGCCCTGGATTTGGTCCCTTCCAACTAACTGGAACTGTAGAGGGTTAGAGCTGATGATAATTCCTGCTCCCAGAGTCTTGTAGGTCCTGGGACCCACAGGAAGCATGTAGGCAAACCATTATGAATGAAAATTTTTAAGGATAAAGATGGGTCCCACCTTGCCCTCTGGCTAGAACATGGCACTTTGAAGAAGCAAAACAGCTTGAGGTGGGACAGTGGCTTGAGGGCGGGGGAGTCTGAGCCTTCCAAGGAGTTAATGATGGGATTGGGGTTCTGTCTTGCACTCAGGCCTGCTGCTGTGAGGTCTACAGCTTTGCTGTTGATTCCCCATGTGGTTTGTTATAACTTTGTAGTCTAGAGAGGCAAGGGTCCTGATTCTCTCTTCTCTTCCTCAGAAAGTCACCCTCCACATAAAGTGGCCCAAGAGTGTGGAGGTAGAAGGCTATGGCAGCAAGAAGATCGACGCTGAGAGGCAGGCTGCGGCCGCGGCCTGCCAGCTGTTCAAGGTGACCCTCCCCTAGTGAAGACCATGCAGACCTCCCTCCTGAGAACTGCTTGAAGTGACGGTTTTCCTGGTGTCAGCTGCACCTAGGTTTAGGTTGGCAGGGTGTTCAACCACTCACCTGTCCTAAGCCCTTCCCACCTTGTGGTTCCTTTTTTGCTTCAGCCAGTGACGGAATAGATTAATATTGTTTTCTTGCCACTGTAGTTATCTACTTTCTGTGGTTTCAAAAACCACAGAGAAGAACCCCTTTATGGAGAACACTCCCTCTGTATAGCACCATGGTGAGACTTCTATTTCGGTTTCTGTTTTTCTTTCCCTGTTATTTCATGTATTTAGGTTTTTCCTTGTAGTCACATAGTCTTCTCTTACTTACAATGGAAGAATAATAGTCACTTCTCTCACTTCCCAGTGGTTGGACGTGGGTTGCTTTCAGTTTTTGATTGCACAGCATTTCCTAGACCTTCATTGTTGCTCCCAGCCTTTCTTTCCATCCCTAATTGGCTCCCTTCATGGCTGTGCCAACCTTGAATCTTCCTCACATTCCTAGGTCTTTGCTCTTGACAAGGACAAAGCTGTATTCCTTCAGCTTCTCTCCCGCTCATGGTCTGCAGACCTTCATTGTCACTGCTCCTCCTGGGTCTGAGGAGGCAAGGTCCCTTTTCCTGTCCTGGGCTCCCACACGACCCTTCTCTTTTCTCTGTCCTCTCTGTCTCCTCCATCTTGTCTCCCACGCTTTTATTTAATTTTCAGATCTTTCCTCATCTGATTCTTTTCTGTAAGAGTCAAAAATTCTTCAGTGTTTGGGAATTCCCTGGCAGTCCAGTGGTTAGGATGCCACACTTTCACTGCCGAGGGCACAGGTTCGATCCTTGGTTGGGGGAACTAGGATCCCGCAAGCGGCGCGGCACAGCCAAAAAAATTCTTCAGCGTTGTAATCCCTTCCCCAGGCCCTGCTTCCCTGCACACAGCTCTCTGTGCTTGTGGTTTGCATTCTTTCCACTCCAGCATCATAGCCCATGCCATGGTTGCTGGTTCCCTTCACATCCTCATAGCGCCTGGTGATTGTTGGCTGACTGGGGCAGCTTTGCCAGGCTCACCAGCCTCCCCTCAGTCCTTGCTCTGCTTGAATGGTCTGTGGCTTTGGCACTGCGGGGCATCTTTTCTTCAGCCCCTGGGTTATACCTGCTTTCCTTGTCTCTGGGTCACTCCAGGCTCCTCTTCCTCTCCCACTCTCTATAAACATCTTTTTCTGTACTCCTTCTGCCTGGGGAAATCTTCTTTCTCAGAAATTCAACCAGCCTTTCTGTGTTTAATGTCTTGGAAATCTCCGTCTCCCTTAGAGCACCTCTACCTCAGGGGTTCTCAATTTCGGGGGGATTTTGCCCCCCAGGGGACATTTGGTAACGTCTAGAGACATTTTTGGCAGCCACAAGGAGAAGAGTGCTACCTGGTATGACGCCAGGGATGCTGCTAAACGTCCCACAATGCACAGGCCAGCCCCTCACAACAAAGAATTACCTGGTCCAAAATGTCTATAGTGCCGAGGGTGAGGATGCTTTTCTGCCTGGATGTAGAAGGCACTTTAAACCGAGACCATGTGCAGCAAGTTGCGATCACATTCCTCCCCAGCCCGTTCTCTGTTCTCTATCTATGCTCATGGCCTTTTTTGTTTGTATGTTTGTTTAATTGTGGTAAAATACACAAAATATAAAATTTAGCAGCTTAGCCACTTTTAAGTGTACAGTTCAGTAGTATTAAGTGCAGCCACGTTGTTGAGCACCCAGTCTCTAGAACTTCTTCATCCTGGAAAACTGAATCTCTATACCCAGTAAACAACTCCCCATCCTGCCTTCCCCCCAGCCCCTGGCAGCCACCATTCTACTTTCTATTTCTGCGAATTTGACTACTCGTCACATAAGTGAAATCACACAGTGTCCTTTTGTGACTGGTTTATGTCACTTAGCATAATGTCCTCAAGGTTCATTCATGTTGTAGCAAGTGTCAGAGTTTCTCTCTTTGTAAAGGCCAGTAATATTCAATTGTATGTATATATCACATTTTGTTTATCCATTCATCCATTGATGGACTCTTGGGTCCACTTTTTGGCCATTGTGAAATAAGGCTGCAGTGAACAAATACCTCTTCAAGACCCTGCTTTTAATCCCCAGGATTGGAATTGCTAGATCCTATGGTAATTCTATTCTTAATTTTTTGAGGAACTGCCACACTGTTTCCATAGTGTACTATTATACATTCCCACCAACAGTGCACAAGTGTTCTAATTTCTCCACAGCCTCACTAACACTTGTTACTTTCTTTCATTTTATTTATTTATTTTATAGTAGTCATCCTAATCGGTATGAGTTGGTATCTCATTGTGATTCTGATTTGCATTTCCCTAATGGTTAGTGACGTTGAGCATCTTTTCTTGCGCTTATTGGCCATTTATGTATCTTCTTTGTAGAAATGTCTTTTTAAGTCCTTTGCCCACTTTTTAGTCACATCGTTTTATTGTTGAATTATGGGAGTTCTTTATATATTCTGGAGAGTGTAGCCCATTCATTCCTTAATATTTGTACTCAAATTTGTTCAGCTTTTTTCCTCCCAAACTAGATGTGTTTCTTAAGCATTGCCCTTAGGCTTGTTGTGAGGTGCTGGCAGCACAAAGGTGACTGAGGGTGCTCTTGGGGCAGCCACAGCCCAGAGAGGAAGCACCCACATGAGGGGAGAGGTGCACCTCAGCCTCCTGAATAAAGCAGGCTATTCTTAAAGAGTGAGTAGAAGTTTTCCAGGGACAGGGATGGAGAGGGCACTCCAGATAGAGGGCGCAGAGACATGGAACCAGGGTGCACGCGAGCAACTAGCGGATTGTGAACGTGGGTCTGAGTGCTTGGCGATGGTGCGAACAAGTGGGCAGGAGCCAGAACACCAAGCCCTTAGGTGTCTCAGGTAGGAGTCTTGATTGATCCTGTGGATACTAGGTCTGCTGACTGGTGGTAATTGGTGGAATGACAGAGCTGAGTTTGCCTTTAGGAATAGTCCCCAAAAGCAGTGGGGTCAGGCAAGACCAGAGATGGGGGCACAGGATAGGTGAGAATGCCAGTAGCAGCAGTGCAGGAGCTTTCTTCTGGGGTTATTAACGAGCTGGAAAAGACAGTGACTGGTCAGATGGAGGAGGGAGGAAGAGTGGGTTGGTGGGGAAGCATGAGCCAGCACGGGGAGCCCTGGAAGGGAAGCGGGTTGGGTGGGTGTTCATCATCAGGAACACCTCATGGCCTTGTGTGTGGGGGGGTGTGAGTGGGAGGCAGGGAGGTAAAGCATGCTGGCGTTCTGGGGAAGGCCAAGGGGGAGGGTGCTGTATGTGTTTTCTGTGTAATCAGATCGTCCTTGTAAGCAGGCGGTGACGTGACGCAGAAGCATGGAGGCTGAGCCTTGGGCCAGGCACCCGTACTGCCCTGCCCTGAGTGGCTGTGCTTTCATGCATGTGGATGTGTGTGGCGTGCCCTTTTCACACTCTTTGTCACAGAATCCTACTGTTATGCAGTGTTCTTCCACACAGATTTGACAATTTGTTAAGTGCCCAAAAAGTCTATCCAGACTTTGGTTGGAGTTATGTTACATGGGTTAACTTAGGAGGCTTTTGTCTCTTTACTCAAAAAAGTTTCATATCAGGAACTCCCATATTTTGTGTCCTTTTACCAAGTTTTATACTTTTAAAAAATATGTAAATCTATTTCTTTAAGTTCATCTTAGGTAGGCTATGGTTATTGTTGCTGTTGTGAATAGTCCTGATTACATTTTATTTTTTTTTTTTAGATTTTTTTGATGTGGACCTTTTTTAAAGTCTTTATTGAATTTGTTACAATATTGCTTCGCTTTATGTTTTGGTTTTTTGGCTGCGAGGCATGTGGGATCTTAGCTCCCCTACCAGGGATCAAACCCACACCGCCTGCATTGGAAGGTGAAGTCTTAACCACTGGACCTCCAGGGAAGTCCCTTCCTGATTACTTTTTTTTTTTTTTTAACATCTTTATTGGAGTATAATTGCTTTACAATGTTGTGTTAGTTTCTGCTGTATAACAAAGTGAATCAGCTATACATATACATATATCCCCATGTCTCCTCCCTCTTGCGTCTCCCTCCCACCCTCCCTATCCCACCCCTCTAGGTGGTCACAAAGCACCGAGCTGATCTCCCTGTGCTATGTGGCTGCTTCCCACTAGCTACCTGATTACATTTTAAATTACAGTTGGTTCTTTCAGAAATCTGAGGAGAGAGTTGTTGTTGTTGTTTTTTAAAGATTTAATTTTATTTATTTTTGGCTGTGTTGGGTCTTCGTTGCTGCGCACGGGCTTTCTCTAGTTGTGATGAGCGGGGGCTACTCCTTGTTGCAGTGCATGGGCTTCTCCTTATGGTGGCTTCTCTTGTTGTGGAGCACGGGCTCTAGGTGTGCGGGCTTCAGTAGTTGTAGCACATGGGCTCAGTAGTTGTGGCTCTTGGGCTCTAGAGCGCCGGCTCAGTAGTTGTGGCTCGTGGGCTTATTTGCTCCACGGCATGTAGGATCTTCCCAGACCAGGGATCGAACCCGTGTCCCCTGCATTGGCAGGCAGGTTCTTAACCACTGAGCCACCAGGGAAGTCCCTGAGGGGAGAGTTTTAAGAAGCGAGTGGTCACTCCTCAGCTTGTCACGAGTCAGGTGTGGCTGAAGCCACGCTGTGGAGCAGTGCCTGGATTCTGGCACCTGCCGTCTACTGTCACATGGCTGTGATGTCTGAAACCCTCTTGATGCGCCTGGCTTACCCGTGTTGTCTTTACCACTCCCAACTTGAATTTCTTGACCTTGTGCTCTATTCACGTGCTACTCCTGTTCTTCTAGCTTCTTATTTTTTTGTTCTTTAGACTCTGTTTTTCTGCATTTTTCTTCTGCCTCTTAGATTTTGAGCTTCTTGAGGGCAGAGATCAGGTCTCATCCCTCCTGATGGTGCCCAGGGTGGCAAGCATGTTGCTTTGTACATGCTAGAGACTCGGCAAATGTCTTATTTGATTTTCTCTAGAAAAGAATGAAACTGTAATATATTTTAAAATAATATTTTTGTATAACTGGCTTTAAAAACGTTTGGTGTTATTTCTAGAGTATGTTCCCAGCATAGGATTCTTGTGTCAGAGGTATAGCTGTTTTATGGTGTAGACAACATATTTCCTAATTGCTACACTCACTGAAGCTTTCTAGATCACTTTGTGAATGCATCTGCTTCTTGTTGCCCTGTGGGTTTTTCTTTGTTTTGCTTTGTTTCTTTGGTCTTTTGTCTTAATAGCTATAAGAATTTACCTTGTCATTTTCCTCTGTTGAAGCTAGACATGTTAAGTGCTCTCTCTGTGCCCAGTTCTGGACTAGGGCCTGAGGTGAGTAGACAGGTGAAAAAGCATGGCTCTCACACATGAGGGACTTATGGTGTAACTGGGCAGGTTCTGAGCAGCCTGAGGTGTGAGGGTGGTATGGGCCCTCACAACACCCCTTTTTTCCCCAGGGCTGGGGTCTGCTGGGTCCCCGGAATGAGCTGTTTGATGCAGCCAAATACCGCGTGCTAGCCGATCGCTTTGGCTCTCCGGCTGACAGCTGGTGGCGCCCAGAACCCACCATGCCACCTACTTCCTGGCGGCAGCTGAATCCTGAGAGCATCCGGCCAGGGGGACCTGGGGGCCTATCCCGCTCCTTGGGCCGGGAGGAAGAGGAGGATGAGGAGGAAGAGCTAGAAGAGGGGACCATTGATGTCACTGAATTTCTGTCTATGGCCCAGCAGGACTCCCACACCCCACTCAGGGATTCGAGGTACAGCCAGGGGCAGGGAATGCAGGGGAAGCTGGCTGCACCTTGACATGGGGTGGGGCGTGTTCCCAGGGGACTCCTCTGAGATGGGAGGGCCCCTGCCCCACATCTCAGTCCGCGTCTCTGTTATTCATTGGTATATCTACCTGTTCTTGGGGAAAGCCATTTGTGGCCATGTACTGTATGGCTGGGCTTTTGTGAAACAGCAGCACGGACTCTCTCTCCAGCTCACACTTGGGTCCTTCAGAGGCCCAGTAACTACTCTGCCTGCCCACTGCCCCTACCCTCCTATCTGTTTGGGGGAACTGAGGGAGCGCCAGGTGTGCTTTGTGTCTGTGAGAGGATCACAGGCCAAGTGGAAATGCCCCAGCCTCCTGCAACTATGCAGTATCCTAGCCCCTGGGTCTCAGAGCAGGTGAAATTGGCCCAGGAAGAGAGTGCTTTTTCACCTAAACTTTCGGTCCTCCCAGGGGGGGTTCCTTTGAAATGACAGATGACGACAGTGCTATTAGGGCTCTGACCCAGTTTCCGCTTCCCAAGAACCTTCTGGCCAAGGTGATTCAGATAGCGACATCGTCCTCCACAGCCAAGGTGAGCTGGGTCTCCTATAAGTGTGTGTGACTGGGGAGCTGGCTTGGTCAAGTCTGGTTTTCCTCCAGACCAGGTGGGAGGGAGACTACAGGTGTACGGGAGGGCCAAAGATGCCCGTTCTCCAAGCCCAGCCTGGGCCAGCTGGGGGAACTCAGGGTCCTTGGAAGGTTGAAGCAGCAGGGACAGATTGGAAGTCAGAACACTGAAGCACAGGGAGGGGGCTGGGGACTGTAGGAGTGGAAGACGTATATCTGTTCAAGGGTTGCAGGCAGGAAAGGAGGCTTTGGGGAGGGGGTGGCTGACTTGCTGAGTTTTCATCTTTGTTGTCAGGCTGAGGGGCTTTGGTTAAGCAGAGCTTCTCTCCAGGTGCAAGGCCTTTTTGATCCCCCAGGATGTGCTTGGTTTTTAGCTTGTGTTGACAGCTTCAACCTGCAGCTACCATCATACCTGTTTGCTTTGAAAGTGCTGAGAGGACAGTGGGCTAGGAGGGCAGGTAGTGGCATTGCCCAGATGCCATTTCCTGCTGTGAAATCATGGTACCACAGGAGAAGCAAGGCCAGGATCTGGGAGCTGCAGCCCCACAGGGCTAGCTTCTGCCTGTCCAGTGGCACTTCTTTTGTGGCTGATGCTTGGTACCTGCTCAGATGGGGGTTAAATCCATCTCTGTGTCCCTTGATATTCTGCGAACTCCTGGATGTTTTCATTCCCTACCTTTTTGTAACCATCTCTCTTGCCCTTTGTGTAGAACCTCATGCAGTTCCATACTGTGGGCACCAAGACCAAGCTGTCCACCCTCACCCTACTCTGGCCCTGTCCCATGACCTTTGTCGCCAAAGGGCGTCGCAAAGCAGAGGCAGAGAATAAGGCGGCAGCCCTGGCTTGTAAGAAACTGAAGGTGAGTGCAAGGTCCCTGGTGTGATGCATGAGATGTCTTGGAGCTCCCTGCTACCCTTGGCAAATGGTCCACTTTTCCAGGAAATGAAATCTACCACTGCCAGGCTTTTGGCCTGGGCACATAAGTATCTGGTGTCACAGCCTTGCTTGTCAGGCTGTGGGGTGCTGTTTCCAGGGCTTCTCCACAGTCCCTGTGGAGGTGCTTTGCCCGTGAGCTCAGCCGTTTCAGCACTGTTGGCTGGAACCTGGGTGAAGCCAGGAGACATGCTCATCATTCTGAATGGTATGGAGCTGGAGAAATGATGTCTTTGTTGAGGGACAGACTTGGTATCTAGAAAGATCTTGATAACTTGGGCTTTGTGGCCAAAACAAACCATGCGACGTTCATCTAGGATGAATATTGAAGGGATCAACATCCAGGTGAAGGCAGTGGGGCTTACAGCTAGCAATCATTTTGAAGCGGCTTTGGAGGTCAGCTGGTAGCCCAGTTGTGGGAGTTACCTGAACCCATGGGGGTCTGGTTTGCAGAATAAGAGAGGAAGGAGGCCCTGTTTTACTCTGAATGTTCGGATATACCTTTGGTGTACATTTGGCTCTGGGAACTGAATTTTAGATAGAGCTGATAGTGAGGGGTACCAAGATCCTGGAGAACAGAAGAGGGATGGGCTCAGGTAAGTGGTGAGAGGGAATGGATGTGTCATTACCTGTGGCTCAAGAGGACAGAACTAGGGCTAACTGGGAGAACTTCGAGGAAGTCTGAATTTTAATTTGATAGACAAAAACAGTGATGAACTTGAGAACTCTTGTTTTAGGAGGGTATTTCCACTGTCCTGGGAGTATTTAATTCAAATTTGTGAAAACTAACGTTGGAATAAGATTGCACCTGTCGTCATTGTTCAGTCTGCTAATATCCACATTTGTCCCCCCAAAAATCACTTTTCGTTGACTGATTTTATTAAGCAACCATTACAGATTGAAACTGAAAAATAAATGCATTGACAAAAAACAAAAACAAACAAACAGACAAAAAAGTGATGAGAAGAAGACCCTCAGCATGTTAGAGGCCTGTCTCAGGAAGGAGCAAGCTTCTAGGTGGCAGCAGTGTTCTGAGAGCAGCTGACTGCCCACGGTCAGAGAGGCTGTAGGTAAATTCTCACAGTCCTGGGAAAGGACAGAGGCCTCCCCTGCAGCAAGGTGGCCCTGTTGGCACCTCTTCTGTTCTGGCACGAGGAGGCTGGGGAAGGGGATTGGTCCCTGTGCAGGTAGACTTCTTAAAGGAGGGAGTGTTTGCTCTGGGTTTTGGAGGGTGTGCGGAAATCCGGACATGACAGACTAGGGGAAAATGACTGGTTTTCCACATTTGCCCTGTGTGTTGGAATGCTTTGTCTTATTTGTGGTGGGGTGGCTTTGGGCATATAGGGAAATAAAACAGAGAGTTTCCCTTCCAGTGGTTTATTTTATCAAGTTGCGTAAGTACGTATTTCCGGGAAATTCCATGTACGTTTGTATGGTGGACTGGGTGTCATGCAGAGACAGGTGGAGGTGTGGCAGCTGGACGTGAAATGTGGCAGGGGTGGGCGGGCAGCGAAGGCACAGGAGTCTGCGACTGGGTTCCGGGGTGGCTCAGGGCCTGGCCCGCCTGTCTCAGGTGGGGATTCACGGAGGTGAGCCTGGGCTGCTGTGGGGACTCCGGCTGCTCGGGGAGAGGATTCTCTGTGGCGCCTGTCTGGGCGGGTGGGGGCTGTAACACTCAGACACGCCAGGTCTGGTTTTGCTTGAATCATTTTTAACATTTTTTTTTTTTTGGTGGAGACCTAACATTTTCCTGGTTCCTAATTTCTCCCTCCTGCACCATATTGGCCCAAACCCAAAAATGTCTTAGGAAAGAGGTTGCTCTGCACGACTTCTCTAAAGCTCCTGAGCAGGTCTGGGCCAGTTATGGGGAGACAGGCATAGACCAGCCTTCCGTGTTCCCTCTGCAGAGCCTGGGCCTGGTGGACCGGAACAACGAGCCACTCACCCACGCCATGTATAACCTGGCCTCCTTGCGCGAGCTGGGTGAGACCCAGCGCCGGCCGTGTACCATCCAGGTGCCTGAACCCATCCTCCGCAAAATAGAGACCTTCCTGAACCACGTAAGAGAATCCCCACATTCCTCTTCACCTGCCCGCCTTCATCTACCCAGACCAAAAGCTTTCACCTGCAGCAGGTGGTAGTGACTCCCCGCTTTCCCCACTGGGGATGGAGCCTGGGCACACCTTTGCCCTGAGCAGTCCTGTCTTGCCCACGAGGGTCCCAGGGCAGTTGAGGACTGAGTCCTGCCCGGCGGGTGGGCCATAGCCTCTGGCCAAGGTGAATTGTGTGGAGGGGCTGGCTGGCTGTGGGTAAATGAGAAGAAGCTATTTCTCTTCACCATTTTGTTTGCCTCTCCCGTCCTCCAGTACCCCATGGACAGTTCATGGATCTCCCCAGAGCTCCGGCTGCAGAGTGATGACATCTTGCCCTTGGGCAAGGACTCGGGGCCGCTGGGTGACCCTATCACAGGCAAGCCCTACGTGCCCCTGTCAGAAACAGAGGAGCTGCGTCTGAGCCAGAGCCTGCTGGAGCTGTGGCGGCGGCGAGGGCCGGTCTGGCAGGAGGCCCCCCAGCTCCCTGTGGACCCTCATCGGGACACCATCCTCAGTGCCATCGAGCAGCACCCGGTGGTGGTCATCGCCGGGGACACGGGCTGTGGGAAGACCACGCGCATCCCCCAGCTGCTGCTGGAGCGCTACGTGACCGAGGGCCGAGGTGCTCGCTGCAACGTGATCATCACTCAGCCGCGCCGCATCTCAGCTGTGTCCGTGGCACAGCGGGTCAGCCACGAACTGGGCCCCTCCCTGCGCCGGAATGTGGGCTTCCAGGTGCGGTTGGAAAGCAAGCCTCCAGCCCGAGGCGGGGCTCTGCTCTTCTGTACAGTGGGCATCCTGCTACGGAAGCTGCAGAGCAACCCCAGCCTGGAGGGCGTGAGCCATGTCATCGTGGACGAGGTGCACGAGCGGGACGTGAACACGGACTTCCTGCTGATTCTGCTCAAGGGCCTGCAGCGGCTCAACCCGGCCCTGCGGCTGGTGCTCATGAGTGCCACAGGTGATAACGAGCGCTTCTCCCGCTACTTTGGTGGCTGCCCTGTCATCAAGGTGCCCGGCTTCATGTACCCTGTCAAGGAGCACTACCTGGAGGATATCCTGGCCAAGCTGGGCAAGCACCAGTACCCACACCGGCATCGGCACCACGAGGTGAGGGGATACGCCCGCCCCGTCCTGCCCACGGCTCCTGGCCTTTTCTCCATGGATTCCCCTCCTCCTTCCCAAGCCTTGGTTTCCTTGCTAGAAATGGGAATGATCAGGCCTTCTTGACAAGGGTGTGGTGAGGGTTGGAGGTGATGTGTCACGTGCCTTGACCTCACCGAGTCGCGGTGGCCGTGTCCTGTGCACGACCGCTGGCCCTGGGGCTGTGACTGGCCTCTCTTCCCCCACCCCAGTCTGAGGATGAATGCGCTCTCGATTTGGACCTCGTGACTGATCTGGTTCTGCACATTGATGCCCGCGGGGAACCAGGTGGGTGCTTTCTTCTCTGCCCCGTGCCCACCCTGCTCTCCATCTGCCGGGAGCCACTAGCTCATGCCTGCAGGGCCCTTTACAGGTGGGATCCTCTGCTTCCTGCCTGGGTGGCAGGAGATCAAAGGAGTGCAGCAACGCCTCCAGGAGGCCCTGGGCATGCATGAGAGCAAGTACCTCATCCTGCCAGGTGAGAGCATGTGTGCAAGGATGGTGGCCCCTAACACCAGGCTTGCCCTCTGTCCTGGGGAGTGACTCACCTGGGGCTCAGGGCCTTGGGTTTCTTAATAGGCTGCACTACTTTTTTGCTGGCTTTGTGATCTCTACTGGGCATATTACTGATCTGGACTTTAGTTTCATCAAAATAGGGTCAAAATCCCTGCCTGCCCTCATATGGGGAGGTTTTGGCTGGAGCAGTGCCCGTGACCAGTGTGTTCTTGCTGCCCGCCAGTGCACTCCAACATCCCCATGATGGACCAGAAGGCCATATTCCAGCAGCCTCCTGTTGGCGTGCGCAAGATTGTCTTGGCCACCAACATTGCTGAGACCTCCATCACAATCAATGACATTGTGCACGTGGTGGACAGCGGTCTGCACAAGGAGGAACGCTACGACCTGAAGACCAAGGTGGCACCCATCTCCTGGCCCTGCCCCAGCCCAGATCTACCCTGGGCCTGTGTGTCTGGAGAAGGCCACACCTGTGGGATCTCCTTGTCCCTGCTGTGGGGGGCAGTTGAGGAGCTGAGTGAGGTGAAGGCCAGGCGCAGGGGAGCATGGAGGAAGGCGTGTGGTCTTTGTGGCTGCTCACCTGCCCCCTCCCCCAGGTGTCCTGCCTGGAGACCGTGTGGGTGTCACGAGCCAACGTGATCCAGCGCCGGGGCCGGGCGGGCCGCTGCCAGTCAGGCTTTGCCTACCACCTGTTCCCGCGGAGCCGGCTGGAGAAGATGGCCCCTTTCCAGGTGCCGGAGATTCTGCGCACGCCCCTTGAGAACCTGGTGCTGCAAGCCAAGATCCACATGCCAGAGAAGACGGTGCGGCAGAGGTGGGCGGGGTGGGCCCTGGGAACGTGCAGGTGGGGTGAGGGCTAACAGGCTCTGCCTCGTTCGTGCTGTAGGCAGTGGAGTTCCTCTCCAAGGCCGTGGACAGTCCAAACATCAAGGCGGTGGACGAGGCCGTGATCTTGCTCCAGGAGATCGGTGAGTGGTGGAAGGCTGGGCCGGGCTGTGGAATGGCTGTCAGGGGCGGGACTGACGGCTGAGCTTGCAGGGGTGCTGGACCAGCGGGAGTACCTGACCACTCTGGGGCAGCGCCTGGCCCACATCTCCACTGACCCACGGCTGGCCAAGGCCATAGTGTTGGCTGCCATCTTCCGTTGCCTGCACCCGCTGCTAGTGGTCGTTTCCTGCCTCACCCGGGACCCCTTCAGCAGCAGCCTGCAGAACCGGGCGGAGGTGGACAAGGTCAGACCCAATGCCTTTGCGTGGCCCTCTGTTCTCCCTTCCGGCCCTCCGCTCCCTTCGGTCCCGAGGTGGCTTCCTCTGGTCCCTGCCCTGTGACCCTGGCACCCTCCTCCCCTCCCAGGTGAAGGCACTGTTGAGCCACGACAGTGGCAGTGACCACCTGGCGTTCGTGCGGGCTGTGTCTGGCTGGGAGGAGGTGCTGCGCTGGCAGGACCGCAGCTCTCGTGAGAACTACCTGGAGGAAAACCTGCTCTATGCGCCCAGCCTGCGCTTCATCCACGGTCAGCGGGTCCCGAGCTGCCCTGAGCCCCTCCACCCTTCCCACTCACACTGGGCCGGTGCAGTGAGCTGTGAACCAGGGGCCCTAGGTTCACCCTGACTTTGCCTCCCTAGGACTCATCAAGCAGTTCTCAGAGAACATTTATGAGGCTTTCCTGGTGGGGAAGCCCTCGGACTGCACCCTGGCCTCTGCCCAGTGCAACGAGTACAGTGAGGAGGAGGAGCTGGTGAAGGGTGTGCTGATGGCGGGTCTCTACCCCAACCTCATCCAGGTGCTGCCCTGGGGAGGGGGCTCCAGGCCATGACCTCTCCTTCCATCCCAGCTCCTTGCTCAACCCACCCACCTTCTTCTTCATCCTTGCAGGTGAGGCAGGGCAAGGTGACCCGGCAGGGCAAGTTCAAGCCCAACAGTGTCACGTATAGGACCAAATCTGGCAACATCTTGCTGCACAAGTCGACCATTAACAGGTGGGGGACTGTCAGGCTGGGGCAGGGCAGCTCGGGAGGTTCAGCAAGGGGCCTCACCCAGCTCTTTGTTCCCTAGGGAGGCCACACGGCTACGGAGCCGATGGCTGACGTATTTCATGGCTGTTAAGTCCAACGGCAGCGTCTTTGTCCGGGACTCCTCCCAGGTGCACCCACTAGCTGTGCTGCTACTGACCGACGGGGACGTCCACATCCGTGGTGGGTACCTGCACACCTCCCGCCCCACCGCTTCTCCGGCTGCTCTGCCTCCTCGGGGGTCCGGCCTCACTCACCCGGGCTCCCCGCGTCTCTCCCTTCCTCTAGATGATGGGCGCCGGGCCACCATCTCCCTTAGTGACAGTGACCTGCTGCGGCTGGAGGGCGACTCACGCACCGTGCGGCTGCTGCGGGAGCTGCGCCGGGCCCTGGGCCGCATGGTGGAGCGGAGCCTGCGCAGCGAGTTGGCTGCACTGCCGCCCTGCGTGCAGGAGGAGCACGGGCAGCTGCTTGCGCTGCTGGCGGAGCTGCTGCGCGGGCCCTGTGGCAGCTTTGACGTGCGCAAGACAGCTGACGACTAAGCCCCGTCTCCGCTGGGGCCATGTACAGAGTGCAAATGTTTATTTAAAATAAAGTTCTATTTATCCCTTGTGAGCATCGCTATCCGCTGGGGCTCCCCAAACCAAGAGGAAGAGTGAAGGCTCAGAAGGGAGGGCCCCAAAGTCTTAGGAGAGCAAGGGGCTTAGAACCCAGCCCTCAGGAGCTGGAACCACTCATGTGGGTTCTTGGCTTGTGCTGCTTGGCCCAGTCTAGTCGTCTTTGTCACAGCCGCGGTGGGAGGCAGTGTCCTTGCGCGTGCGGCAGGGCCCGCAGCCTGGATCCTCTCTGGCTGGCTGTCACTTGCTAACCCAGGCAGACGGGGGAGGGAGAAGTTCCACAAGCAGCCTTAACCTTTGGTCACAGCCACAGATTCACAGACGAGGGGCTGAGGTCAAGACTGCACGCTGCACCCCAGTCCCTCAATGCGAGGGGAACAAGCTGGGGGCTGTGGGGGCCTCGGATGCTGAAGACGTAGACAACCAGGACGTATACAGAAGACAGGGCCTGCGTGGTGGGACATACGAGCTTTATTTTTTCTGGAAATCATAACAACAATCACAGATCAACATGGTTAACGGCTGAGCCATAAGCAAACGGGGAGGTACAGAAACGTTCCAGCCCCAACAGCTGCAGGATAGAACACAGCACACAGGGCCTCTGGCCCCACCTGTCAGGGCGGCCTTCTCAGCTTCTCTGGCTTGTGGGACCCTTCAAGGGAGCTGTGACCAAACCACCTTTCAGAACACTGACCACTCCAGCGCCCCCTAGAGTGCTCTCCACCGGGGTCACCTCTCCCACCCCTACCTTTGGCCAACAGAGTAAAAGGACCGAGAGCTTGTTGTCCACCCCAGCATCAACACAGGTGCAGGTACCTTTAGGCCCAGCACTGTCACCCCGCTGCATCTGGCACCCCACCTCCCACTGCGTTCTCCCAGTTTCATCTCACCCTTTCTTGCAGACAAAACACGGATGCCCTGATGTCCCTGGCGCCGTTGAAGCACTGTGTGGACAGTCTCTGGCCCTGGGAGTGCTTTTTCCACAAGACCCCTGCAATTTCTTGGTATGTGCTTGGGGAGCTGGGGAGATGGTGTCGAACCTCCCTGGAGAAAATGCTACCTCAGAAAGGGAGAGCACCTGCTCAGCCCAGACACCCTCCCTCTACATGGACTTCAAATCTGATCCTAGGTCAACAGCTCCCACCTTCTCAGCGCCAAGGGATGCCAGAGGAGGAGGTGGGGAGTGTGAGGGGCCAAGTCTGCACTGCAGAAAATGCTCTTCCAGAGGAGAAGCCTTGGAGACTCCCAGGCCATTTCACTACAAACTGTTACGTTTTAATCCTTTATTAGAAACCATGCAAACTTTAATACAAAAAGTACAAGTGCAATAAGAATCTTCGTGTCAATACAATTCCCGGGACTTATCATTGCAGCCATCCCAAGACCAGGCCTAACCAGGACACACCCCTTAGGCTGGCCTCTCCTCTCCTCTCTCCCCTCTCCAGTCAGGCCGTAAGGGAGCCTGGATGGCCCATCTCATGTACTTATTTTTAAATTTCCAGACTTGATTCCCCACTATCCACATGAGTTCTGAACACATCAGGCTCCCTGGCAACTGAGGGCTCGAGTGTCCTAGGTTGGAGGCTAGGAGGAATTTGACCTCCATGGCCCTTTCCAGCCCGACCTTGTCTCCCACCAGATCCCAGGGAATGAGACAGACATAGATGCCAAAACCAGCCTCTTGGTTAGAAAAGAAAAGCAGCATACACACAAAATGCCAGAACCACCAGTCCACACTCTGACCAGCCCCTAGCGGTCCCTGCCTGCCCTCTAGCCCACAGCCCCCCACTGCACCTGCCCTGCCCACACCACCTCCGGGGCCAGGGCCCCAAGCTGCCCAAGGCAGGGCAGCCTCCAATGCCTCACCTCCCAGCTGGAGGCTTCAGGATCTCCCCTCCCTGTTTCCTTTAACACCTACCAACGACTTTCATTCAGACATGGCTTCAACCTGCAAAACTACTCCACCGGTTTTCAGGTTATTAAAAAAAAAGAAGTGTGACAGCAGCTAGGTAGGTATGGGAAGCAGCGGGGACAGGCAGCATTGCCCCTGACTAACTTGGGGGAGGGCAGCAAGAGGTGCCTGGCGCCACCTGTGAGGTGGGCACCACTGTGGGGTCAAAGGAAGAGGCAGTGGCTTAGCAGGCTTCAGGGTACGCAGTCAGCACCCGGCCGTCACGGGGACATCCACTTCCACTCTTCCCTCCAGATAGACCAGCGAGGAGGGAGGGTATGTCAGTTTCTCTTGGGTTTGGTCCAAAAAAACCAAACAAAGAGGAGGTTGGACTCCGGTTCCCCCCACCCAGATCCCAGGAGGTCCTGAACTAGCCTCCCCTACCCCACTTTCCACCCAACCTTCTCCGCGGAGCAGCGGCGCAATGGTGAGGACAGGGGAGCCAAGGAGGGAGCCGGGTCTGGGGCTGGGAGTGGAGGAAGCACGGGGGCGGGGCTGCTGCTACCCTGGGCAAGTGAGGCAGGAGGGAGGGAGGGAGGGGCCTAGAGGGCAGCCCAGGAGAGGGAGCTAGGGGCCCAGGTGCCTGAGCTGGGGCCGCCAGGGAAGTGGAGGGGGGCGGGAGACAATGTCGGCCCCGTGGTCGGTGCGGGCCCTGGCGTTTGCCCGGAACGTCAGCCTGTAGGTCTCAATCTGCAGTGACACAGGAGGAGGGAAGGGAGAGGGTGACGGGGGAGACAAGAAGGGGAACACGGGGGACGGAAGACGAGACCAGAATGTCATCATTAGATGCCTGGAAAATAAAAGGTTGCTTCGTTAAAATTCAGGCCACACTCCGGTCAGAAAACAAAGGAGTTTCAATCTGCAGCCAGTGGCAGGGCCCCTGGCTGGCCCTTAGGCCGAGCCCAGCCACTTACTTGTCTCCTGGATCTGGCTGTCCAAGGTCTGGGCCTCCCTTTGGTCACCACCCCCTGCCAGGGTGGTGTGGCCACTGAGGCCACTGGCTGAAGTGGGGGCGCCAGCTTCAGGCGCTGCCTCAGGGATGGCCGGCTCCTCCCCAGCTGGGGGGCCCGGACACGGAGGGGCCTCGCTGCCACCGCCCTCAGTCTACAAATGAAACAGTGGGGGAGACAGTGCAGGGTCAGTCGGGGAGGGCGTGGGATGGTGATGGTGGTGGGTTTCACACACAGTCCCCACCCCCGCTGCTGCTGCTCCCCATTGGCTCAAGGTACAGTCACCTGGGAGTCTAGACCAGGTGCCCCCCCCGCCCCCCCTCCCCCCAGACCAACTCCTGGCCTGGGTGGCAGGGTGCTGGGTAAGAACTCAGGCTCTGGGGCAGTAAAGCAGTGCAGCCTGGCTAGTGACACGCTCTGAGAGCCTCCTCTGGGAGACGAAAGGCTTCGTGAAGCCTCTGACATGAGAAGTGAAAGGTGCTTGGCTTCTCAACAAGGCTGATGCCAGATCAAAACACTTATGACAGCAGATTGTTAGCAAAAAAGCTAAGGAATCATCTCAAATTGTGGGTCTGGAGCCACTAGGGCTAGGGAGCTCCGGGAGCTTGAACCAGTTCCTGAGGGGTGCAGGCCGCCACCTCAGACCTAAGGGATCCCAGGGCACTCCCTGCACATGCGAGTGTTCGGAGAGGCTTTCTCGGCCATTCCTGGGGCAGCGCTGCCCGTGTATCCATCATTCATGCGCCCCTGACACAGGCCTCCTCTGTGCTGGGCATCTTTCTGGGGCCTGGGGACACAGGAGGGAAGAAGGTGTCCAAGGAGGTGTGAGGGAGACTGTGGGGGCCTGGCGAGGAAGGCCTTGTGGCGGCCGTGGACACCCAGTGTGAGTCCAGAGCACAAGAGGGAGGGCTGGTGGGAGGCACTGGCGAGCTGGCACACCTGTGCTGGGAACACCCAAAGGCGACAACAGGAGAAATCAGAGCAGTGAAAGAAATGGGCCTCTGTGTTAGAAAAATAGTTCCAGAAGTGATAAGATAGGGAGGTGATGTGAGTAAAGAAAAGACTTGCGGTCAGAAAGGCCCAGGCGTGAGCCCTGGTCTGCGTGCACCCGTCGTGTGGCCGGGGACAAGTGACTACACCCAAGTTAGTGCCCCGGGGGTGCTGACCAGAGAACAGCCCCTCACAAGGTATGGAGCATGTCCTGAGATAGTCTGGGCTTGAACGGAGCACTGAGGGGGGTGGGACAAAGTGTGGGCTGGGATGGAGCCGCGCTGCGCGGTCAGATGCAGGGGAAGGCCCGGAGCACTGCTCACGTCCCCTCTCCCTCGCCCACCCCTCCCTGAGCAGCTGCAGCCACCCTCAGGCTTGGAAGCCGGCAAGGCGCTGCCCCCACGGCCCTGCTACCCGATGACACGGAACAAAGGACAGACAGCATCTTGGCAGACAAAAGATCTCACGGTACTGTGGAAGGAGCGCGGAGGGAAGAGAGGGAGGGAAGGGAGGAGAGGCCCAACCAGGATGGGAAGCCTGCCGCCCGAGTGCTCTCCAGAGCCCGGCCCGCGCAGGCCTCCAGAGGGGGTGGATGCCAGGCCTGCCGTCACGGGCAGCTAAAAATGTGCCATTCCGCTCCCAGGCCCGGAACAGAGCCTGACACAGAGCAGGTACCGAACACTCCCGTCTCAGGAGGTGCTGCGAGAACCGTACCACACAGACCCCGGCCTTGTGGGGACCTGCAGTCCAGCCCTGTCCCTCTGAACATGGCTGAGATGGGCTCAAAAAGGCAGGCCACGGCTCTCAGAAGAACGTTCCATCTCCAGCTGGACAGGTGAGAGATGACCGGGCTGGGGCCTCTTCACCTCTCCTGCCTCGCTCAGGACTGATGACAGACGATGGAAACAGCAATGGTGTGGGTGAAACATGACCCCTGAAGAGACTGAGGGGCGGTGACAGGTGCCCATCTGCTGGGACCCAGACTCCAGTCGCACAACCCCACCCCCGAGCTGTGTCCCCGCCAGGACCCACTCACTACCTTCACGGCACCTCCTGCGGGCAGGTGGCCCACGTTATCAAGGGATCCCACCTTCGCCTGGGCCTTCTCCTTGAAGTTCAGCTTCTGACTTTCGATCTTGACATCTCCTCCACCTGGAACCAAACAGAAATGGGTCACTGTGGGTGGCAGAGAAATACCCCTACAGGCAAAGCCAGGAGGCTGGCCAAGGACTGGGATGTGCCCAGTATAGAAATGGGGAAAAAGTGACCTGCTCTGAGGACAAAGGAAGAGGCACAGTGAACACATACTTTCAGCCTCATAAACACCCTGTTGGTCAGGGTCAAGATCCTGGAATCCTGGTTTTCCAGCTGCCACCACTGATACTGGAGGAGAGGAGTGACTTGCTCAAAGTCACCAGCGAGCCAGTGAGTCACAGGATGGAGTATGGTCTAGGTGAGCAGTTTAACTGAATCTCACTATCATGAAAAGAAGGGAAGGCAAGAGGCGGGAGCAGAGGGGAGGCAGTCTGTACACAGGCAATGTTCACAGCTCAGCCAGAGTGAGGCCACGGGATCAAGGGCCAGAGCACTGTCACTGGCCACCCGGCCCCTCAGCTTGGCTTTCCCTTGAGCCCTTCTTCATTCTCCCATCTCCTCCTGGCTCATATCACCAACCTCAACGCCTAGCTGCCTGCCAAATTCTCCAGGTATCCTACCCACTGGATTTCTGGCCCCTTGCAAAAACTGGACCTCAAGTCACTCAGTGTCACTAGGGAAGGAGGTATCTCACAAGACTGGATTTTCCAGATAGAAGGAAAAATGAAGGTTAGTTAAGGGCCAAAGTGTTTTGATCCTTTTACACAGAACACCTTCTAAAATGGATGACAGTTTTTGCTGAGAGGGAAGGGAGTTTTCTTTGTCTTCCCCTTAACTGGCCCGTGGCGTGGCGACTGATCTCTGAGACACCAGACCTGTCAGCCAGTGTGCCTGCCACTATAGATACGGCACTACCCCAAATCTGCTGCCGACCCAGGGTCCAGGACACACGAGGCTCTTAGGGTACAGCCGAGCCAAGAACGCAGGCCCTGCTCAGACAACATTGCCAGTGGCTCAGAGGCCTCCGCGGGGGCGCCAGGCCACCTGTGCTGCTGGCAGGAGAGTCTGCATTGCTGTAGTGGCAAGATCCACATGGGCAGGCCGAGGCGGCATTATTGAATGGCTCCCTATCTCCTGCTGGAGCTGCTGGTGGATGCTTCACTGCTCGGGAATACCCTTTGCTCCTGAGTCTGACAGGCAAGGCCCGACCACCACTCTCCAGAGCTCCTTCAGCACCAGCTCCTGAACGCTTGCCTGGGAAGCTGAGAAGGGTTCTTAGCCCCTAGCGTACCTTTCCCCTAGGCCTAGGTCAACAGTGCCATGCACACAGCAGGTCCTCAAGACGCTGCCGGTGCAAATGGCAAACCTTCCACACTGTTCCTCCTCCAACTAAAAGGTTAGTGCCCAGAATCCCCCCTCCCTGACAGGGACTGAGGACTACGTCGTTTCTACTGCTGTGCCCTGGGTGTGTGGCTCCAGGAATCTTCATGGAAGGACAGAGACATAGGGGTGAAACCTGGGACAAGGGAGGCACCACTCACCAGGCTTGTGCTTAATGTTAGCCTTGGACCCACACTTGGAGGAGACCTTAGAGATGTCCACCTTCTTGTTCTGAATCTGAACCTGAGGAGAAAAACACACAAAAAAATGACTGCCTCAGTGAGAGAGGGTGTACTGCCAGGTCCAAACCCATGCTCTCTTTATAGTCTCCAAACCCGAGGTCAGAGGCCGCCTTCTCCAAAGGCTTCCCCGGCTCTAACCGCACTCCGTCTCTTCTTCATACCATCTCTTGAAGGGACCTCAGCACCAGCTCTACACTAATCACTTCAGGTGCTCAATCATCACCTATAGCGTACCTACTACCATCAAAACAGCAGCCTCTACTCTGGCTCATCTTTCCAACAAGGCTGCAATTCTCCCTAAACAGGAGCTTGGGGAAATGCACTTTTCCCAGCCACAGATCTGGCAGCTGCTAAAGCAAGCCACCACGTGTCCTCGGCAACAGTGACAGGCTCATCCTGCGTCATCCCTGAGATGACCTGTGAGGAGTCAACAGAGGTCACTCGCCACGGCTGGGCTCTCGCCAGGGTGTGGAGTCCACACATCTGTTGACAGTGTGCCACAGCTGAACCTAGTCCTCAAAAAAAGAATAGTTGATAAGGGGAAGTTTCACTTTATAGATGTATTCCAGCCAATAAATGAAAAAGGGACAGGATAATTAGAGTCTCACCACAGTGCACCTTCACTGAACTCATGGTTTTGGGCATCAACAGCCGCCAGCATCACGAGGAGTGAGACGACGAGAAGAGTGAGACATTATGTTTCCTGACAGAAACACCACCACTGCCTATGAACGTCTTGCAAAAATGTGGGGAAAAATATCAAGTCTGAATCAATCTAAAGAAAACTGTGGGTGCCCATCATCGGATGAATGGATAAAGAAGATGTGGCACATATATACAATGGAACATTACTCAGCCATAAAAGGAAACGAAATTGAGCTATTTGTAATGAGGTGGATAGACCTAGAGTCTGTCATACAGAGTGAAGTAAGTCAGAAAGAGAAAGTCAAATACCGTATGCTAACACATATATATGGAATTTAAGAAAAAAAATGTCATGAAGAACCTAGGGGTAAGACAGGAATAAAGACACAGACTTACTAGAGAACGGACTTGAGGATATGGGGAGGGGGAAGGGTGAGCTGTGACAAAGCAAGAGAGAGGCATGGACATATATACACTACCAATCGTAAAATAGATAGCTAGTGGGAAGCAGCCGCATAGCACAGGGAGATCAGCTCAGTGCTTTGTGACCGCCTGGAGGGGTGGGATAGGGAGGGTGGGAGGGAGGGAGACGCAAGAGGGAAGAGATAGGGGAACATATGTATATGTATAACTGATTCACCTTGTTATAAAGCAGAAACTAACACACCATTGTATAGCAATTAATACCCCAATGAAGATGTTAAAAAAAAACAATAAATAAATAAAAACTGTGGGACTAATGAATATGTTAAGTGAAACCATGGGGACATTCTCAGCAGAATCCAAATTCTAGGACAAACCACTCAGTTTACTCTTGAAAAATATTACCGTGAAAAAAGAAAAAATGAACAGGGAACTTATAGAGTAAGAGAAACCTAAGATTATAAGATGCAAATCAACCAATCACAACTTATGGACCTTACTTGTTTCCTGATTAAGCAAACCTGTTTAACATGCTATGGGATTTTATATACATATGTATATTAGAGTTCTTATCTTTTAAAGATACATATTGGAATATTTGCAGATAAAAGATATAACTGAAACTGGCTTCGAAATAACTGGGGTGGGGCATTTATAGATAAGACTGGCCACAAAGATTAATAAATGAAGCTGGGTAAAAAAGTACATCCAATTCACGTTACCATTTTCTCTACTTTTGTATATGTTTGAAAATTTCTATAATTAAAAGTTTTAGGGACTTCCCTGGTGGCACAGTGGTTAAGAATCCGCCTGTCAGTGCAGGGGGCACGGGTTTGAGCCCTGGGCCAGAAGATCCCACATGCCGTGGAGCAACTAAGCCCGTTGCGCCACAACTACTGAGCCTGCGCTCTAGAGCCCATGAGCCACAACTACTAAAGCCTGCGTGGCCTAGAGCCCACGCATCACAACGAAGAGTAGCCCCCGCTCGCCACAACTAGAGAAAGCCCGTGTGCAGCAACGAAGACCCAAGGCAGCCAAAAATAAATAAATTTATATATATATATATATATATATATATATATATATATAAAGTTTTAAAAAGCTTAATTGCATCTCACTAAGTTAACAAAGCCTCTGAGACAAGCTCTGCCTTCCCAGGCTGGTACATAGAAGAGCCACAATCCGCTTCCAAAAGATACCCCCAACCCGCTCCCCTAGCCACCGGCCTCCACTGACGGCTTTGGCTTTAGGGAGTCGCCCTAAAGTCGCCCGCAGTGACGCCTGGCAGCCAGCACCAGCCTGTTCACCACCAACCCGGCATTCCCGCACCTCGCTCAAGCCGTGTGCTCACGTGATCTGCCCCTGGCCTGCAGGCCGCTGCAGGTGTCAATACTGCTACTGAAGTGACACTGCCAACAGGTCTCAGAACCCATTAACATACACACCCCTCCTTGCAAGGGTGAAATGGAATTAAAACTGCTGCAACATTTAAACTGGGATCAGCCACAGAAGTAGCTGCTATGTTCTCACCCGATGGCCTCTCAGTTCTCAACAAGACGCATGTTTATGTGTACATGGGGACATGTGGGGAGTACTGACCAGGATCCTGTTCCAAGCCACGAATCCCTGTGGTAACCCCAGAATTTCTCTCTGGGGTAAGGAGGGCCCTGTGGGGGAATGGGGTTAGACGCGTACGGCTGGTGGCCACCCTTCTTATACACAGGTATATTTATGGTGGCTTTATGGAGGGGCTGATGGAAGGCAGGACAGCGCCATAGTCCAGGCTGTTTACCCTCATCTTCCCACTGGAAACACTGTCACAGGCATTTTCCTAATGCTCTGCTGTTTAAGGAAACCTCCTAAAATGAAAACTCTTTTAAAAAGTACATTCCCTCATCAAAAAAATCTTGTTTGAAGTCATGTGTAGGCAGTGTGGGAAGACCATACTAGGTGACAGATAAACGAGGACTATTTTTAGAGCTCTGACAAACACCACACAACATATATAAATGCATTTCTGTGTCACACACACCCCACACACACACACACACACACACATGCACGCAACCCAGTTCCCTCAGAATCCCTGTTCACCTTCTGTTTGCATCTAGGCCAAAGCCTGAGAGGAAAAGCTAGGGCCAGTGCCTACCTGCGCCCTTCACGGGTTGGATCTTTCTCACCTTAACCACACACTGCCTTTAAAAGCTTCCCCCACCTCTGCCTTCCCACACTGGGATGGCTGATCTCTGGCCAACTTCCAAGTTGGCCTAGAACCAGCCACCCGAGTGCCAAGGATGCAGTTTCTGCCCCAGGAAGAGCCAGTGGTGGGGAGATGACCAGGAAGGATGTGCAGTAGGGGAGTTGTGCGGGGGGAAGAAAGAGGTGTTCTATGTTTGCACCTCACAGCAGAACTGCAGGGTTGGGCCCTCTGTAAGCCATGGGCAGGACGACATGACCACCGAGGGGACAGGGGGACAGAGCCTAAAAATGAAGAGGGTAAGCAGAGCAGGACTTAATCCAGGTCAGGAAAGAGAGGAGAAGGAACTGAATGAACCCAAGGGAGACCAGGACAGGGCAGCTCTCTCCCTCTTGGGGTGGGAGAGAAGCGAGGGGAGAGGCGGTGAGGGCAGGGCTCTGTCACAGGGACGTGGAAAATGCAAGTGTGCTCTCCACATACCAGATGACAATGGTGATCTACCCCATCTCTCCCTAGACCAGGACCTCCCTATGAGCCCCAGTCACCTGTGTCCCTAACACAGATCTTAAGGGTGGTACAGAGTAGCAGCATGATAAACAGGATGTCTGGATGGGAGAGGGAAAGAGCCAAAAAGAAAAGGAAATAGGAGGAAGGGGTTGGAAAAGGTAAACAGTGGGGGAAAGAGAGCAGAAAGAAAAGAGGGGGAAGGAAGCAGGGAGAGAAGAGGAGAAAGAGCAGAGTCACAGAGATGCAGGGAGGGCACAGGAGGGGTGGGAGCACGTGGAACACAGACTCCCTGCTCTACAACAGCAAGGACTCGAGGATGGGCTCTGGAGAAGTCCGGACATCTGTCTCCAGGTCAGGACCACTGCACCCCCAAGAGCGGACTCGAGACAGACCGCATCCCTCAGAACAGGTCTCTGAACCCCTAAGGCCTCCCACCCACAGGGGCAAAAGATGTCAAGTGGGTGTCACCCAGCTGTCGTTTAGGGCTCACCAGAAACACTCAGTCTGAACACATTTGAGCATCGGGGTCCCCCCGACTCCGCTCGCCCGCCAGGGCGGGGCGGCCCTCTTTCCAGGGTGCCTCAGACACCAGCGGCCCCGAGCGCATACTTACATTACCACCTCCAGGGACATGCTTAATATTGTCCTTGGAACCACACTTGGACTGAATATGGCTGTAGCTCACTTTTTTGGAGACTATCTGGACCTGGAGTGTTAGAGAACAGAAAAAACAACACAAAGGGAGAGGGCTGGTTAGAACCGACACGGGGCAGGCAGTGAATCCACACGTGACCACGATGAGCGGCAGGGAGTGCTGTTAAAACCCCACCTTCAGCAGAGCTGCTGTGGAAAAGCACAGGCCAAGGAACTGGAAGGAGCAGGAAAGGGAGTGAAAACACGAACAAACACAAGGACAGAAGATGTCGCCAGAGTGCTACATGGGCATCCTCACTGCTCCTGGGGGCCGGCTGCAGTTCACAGGGTGCAGACAGCAGTGGCCCCAATGCCCACTCAGCCACGGCCCACCCCCGGCCTGCTCTCTCCCCGACGCTCCTCTCTGCAAGGGTCCTGCTCATCTGGACCCGTCCTCACCCAAGGACGGCACTTCCCTTAAATCTGGGGCCTGGAATCGCTGCAGCCAGACCTGCTCTAGGAAGCAAAGGCTGTGTGGAGAAGCCCGGGGCCGCTGGCTCACGGCCCAGATCTGATGCTGATGGGAAGGAAGGGACCCGAGGCCGCTGGACCTGCTATGCAGAACCCTGGGCACCAGGGGGCACAGGCCGAAGCCACACTTCCACGCAGAGCCCACTTGTCTCAGGACTCAAGAAAGCACAGTGCAATTGAGGTTTAAGTCTAGTCTTCTTTTTGATTCCAGGGTAAAACCCCTTCCACAATCCTCCAGATGTCCAATCCTGTGCCCTGTTTCATGTGTAAAGAGACTAGGCTCTGGGCAGGGCTGCAGTGAGGCACAATCTGGGGGGGCACCTGCACAATGTGTTGTATATAAACGGCTCCCCCTGGAATGGAGCAACACAAAGGCTCAGGATCCAAGATCTGGGGCAAATAATTCTTTTTGAGCCTTCTCAAGAAGGAATAGTTGCCAGCGTCCTTCCTTCCTTTCCTTAGAGCACTTCACAAATGATGTAGTAGCCCCCAAACTGAAGGGTTCTCCCCAGAGTAGAATCTACCCTGAGAAACTCCAACTGTTCCTTGCCTTCTTTACATACATCAATGATGAACAACTGGTGAGCAAACCACCTTCCTAATGAACCAGAGACCTACAGGACCTCTAGAAGCTCCCAGGAACCATGGCGCAGCCTTCCCCACCTGCCAACCATACAAAGTCCTTGCCCTGGCCACCTACCTGCCACAGATAAGGGCAGAAGGTTCCCGGGGCAAGAGGAGGGCCCTGGCTCCAGGGTGTGGAGACAAGGGGAAAGAACCTAGCATTTCCCCGCTGCATCCAGGTGACGGTGCAATCCCTGTGCTGAGTGGGTTTTTGCTGGGAATCAGCATCCTAACTTTCAGTACAGAGGTCCTTGGAGAACCAGGACAAATGAAGCTACCTCCACACCCAGAGGTGCTGGGAGGGGCCTTCAGCTGAACTTGAAGCACAGGGGCTCCAGGGTTCCTATTGCTGGAAGGTTACCAGTGCCATGTCTTACTGAGGAAGAAGCTGGGTACTCTGTGTTTGTGTACATAATGGGTGTGTTTCAGATCAAGGTCAGAGTGAAGGAAGTGACTGAAAGTGTTTGGATCCATTTTATCCAGCTAAATAAATATTCCCTAAGGGGCTAGTGGGCTCCTAGCTCTGTTAACTTTCAGGTTAATAGAGAATACTTTCTGATGCCTGAGTCATCAAACACAGAGGAAGGAACACAGGGAGAAGTAGAAACTAGTTAAGGATAAGAAAAAAGTGCAATAGAAGGGAAAGTGACTGAGGCTGGAAGAAACAGTTGACCATCTTTTTACCTTCAAGAGGTAAAAGTCTAAATAAAACTCACTTTCCCAGCAGGCGGTTTCTGTGCACTGCCAATTGGGCCGGCTGCTTTAGTGACTGCGTTAGGTTCAGGCTTTCGAGCTGGAGCAGCTGCCTCTGTTTTTTTCTCTACTTTGGCCTGGATGGAGATAAAGGGAGGGCAAATTTCAAACCAAGAGGACAAGAGCCCAGATACAAAGAAGGGAAGAAGGCTGAAGGGGACTCGCATCCAGGCCAGGCCATCATGCAGAACCAGGTCACCCTTGCTCCCAGGAAAAAACCACAGATTTGCCAGGGCAGACCAAGCTGGAAGGAGAGGGGCTACAGACCAGACTTGAGACACGAGGAAGAGATCAAGACACCATTCGTGGAGAAGAGGCAAGAAGGAGGCTAAATGAGCGATTCTCTTCTGAGTGTGTACTGGGGTTTTCAAATCACAATGTCCCACCCCCCTGCCCTATGTTCTGATATGCCCCAAACAAGCTGCCACGGTCACAGGGAGCCATTACTGATGATGGGAAGTGCCACACCCTCAGGTACGTTGGAACAGAAAATACTTTCATCACCAGACTGAGTTACTGAACTCTCCACCAAGACCTCCTGCAACTTTTGCACCATGAAAACATAAGAAGAGCATGGGCCAGGGTGGGGAACAGACAGGCCATCACCACCACAGCCCCAGATGCCTGGCTGGGTACGTTAGAGCCATAATCTCTTGTCAAAAGCAACTCTTGGGCCCTTATCCCAGTTTTCCATCAGTGTCTTCCAACAGCACCAGGATTCTGCTTCATTTTGGACCCTCTTCAATTTTTTAGCAGCTCTGGATTGAAGCAATTTAAGTATCCTACCCTGAGTGGCGGGTGGGCGGGGGAGGCGCACGCCGGTGGTGGTGGTTTAAGTGCTAGAGAATGAGGCAGGAGGTGAGAAGGTTGCTGCTCCCGGGACTTTGAACTTGGACTTTTGCCACCACCTTTTCACACATAAAATCCCCGTGGCTGCTAATAGTTAACAAATAATTCTGGGGTGGATGCACCCAGAAAGTCCTTAAAGTGAAGCGCTGTGTCCAGCCATGCTTCTCCATCTCAACACTCTATCACGGTCCTTTGTTTAGGAAAGCCAGGGGCTCGCAGCAAGTCACCCTGGCCACAAGAGGACACTAGTCCTCGTTCAGACAGACTCTCCACCCAAGACACAGCATAGGGAACAAAGAGGTGGTCCATCTTCTTTCTGCCTATCCTGCTGTTCACAGTGCAGGCGTAAGAAACAGAACAAACCAGGTTCCCGCCCAGTGTCTCTCGCCTGTTCAAGGCTCAGAGGCCTCCTCTGTTTGTTTTGTAAAGCAGAACCCTTTTTCCTCCAAAAATGTAAGCCTAAACCCCAAAATGCAGAACAGGAGAGGAGAAGAGAAAGCTCAGAGCCACCTGCTTGCTGCTGCTGGGAGGTGGAGCCCAGGAGGAAATTCCCTGACGCTGAATCCAACGTCCTGACTGCTCCCTGCATGGTGGGCCCCTTGGGCTGATGCAAGGACATGCCTGGGAACGGTGCTTAGATGTGGCAGAGGAAGAAGCAGGGGCCAGCCTGCCGAGGACCCCAAGCTCCCTGGACTCACCCGGCCTCCTCCAGGCTGGTGCTTGATGTTTTCCGTGGAGCCAACCTTGGAACGGACATTCTTCAGATCAGGGGCAGAAGCATTGGTAGCCACGCGGCCCAGCCTTGGGGCAGAGGAGCTGGGCTTGGCTGCCGTGGGCTTCTTGTCCACGGAAGGAGTCCCAGAGGGCCGGGGAGGGGTGGCTGTGGGCTTGACGCGGCTGGGAGTCACCCCTGCTGGGGGTGCCGCCCCAGGGACGGCGGCGCTTTTCTTCACGGAACTGGTGGAGGTGCTCTTTGGGCGACTCACGTCAGCTGCAAAGGTGGGAGTGAGAGATAACAGGTATGCAGGGAAGAGAGCAAAGGGAGCCTTAAAGCCATGGAAGAGGTGGGGGTTTAAATCTGGGATCCACGAAGCGGGGGATGGGGTCTTACCTGGTGCACACTTCGTAGCCATCTTCTTGACGTCTGCAGGTTTCCCCTCAGTCTTGACCGCTGCACAAACGTATACTTTTTAACATCACGATTAACAAAATAACCTACTGAATGGCTCATCCAAAACTGAGATTCATGCATTCATTCAACAATTACTGAACTGTTTGAGCCAGGGGCTGTGCTAGTATCTGAGAACAAACTAGTAAATCAGACAGCCGAGTAAAGACCACGCCCTGATGGAGCGTCCAAGGCCAAGCACTGTGTCTTACTCTTTTCTACAGTCTTGACAATGCCTTCCCTTCTACATGGACTTTCTTTGAATGGCCTATTTCTTATCATGAAAGTCCACGTGCTGTGGAGTTACTAAGAAAGGAATAGTAAATTCTACCTTGGAATTCATGAGAATCCCCTTCACTCAGGATTTTTCTGGATACACATACTTACTAACCTCACATGGAGATCGAGGCTATCACTTTTCCACAGACCTCATTAAGGACTGGTGCACAAGCAGGTCTGCACAGATGTCTGTGATGCCGGCTGGCGCTATGGCTGGAGCAAAAAGCCAAGGCCCCACCCTCCTCCCCACTGGTTCCCATGGGAGGGAAGCGCAGTACTCACCAGCAGGCCTCTTGGGCAGGGGTGTAGAGGGGCTCCTACTGCTTGGCCCAGCTGAGGCAAGAGTGGCAGCTGCTGTGGCTTTTGGAACAGTCTGGGTGCTCTTGGAGCCAGGCCTACCGGCCAGGGCAGAGACCAGCTTGGATGGCGAGGCTGGCTTGGATGGTGAGGCCCGCTTCTCAGGAATCTTTGCCTCTGCAACAGGCTGCTAATAGGAAAGTGGGAATAAGAGCTGCAGGTCAGCAATAGGCCAAGGAAGTCATGCCAAAGGATGGTTCCATATAAGCTTATGCCAGAAATCAGGGGTACTGTGGGTTTGGCACCACTGATAGGAAATATATGTGGCTATATGATCAAAGTCCTCCACACAACATGAGAAATGGCTATGTAGGGTGCCGTGTGATCGGGAATCAGGAAACAGGGGGTCAAACCACCTGAATCCAACCTGAACCAGTGAGAGTGAACAGCCCTGAAAATATACCACACCACAAAGTACATCTGCCTCAGGATCCACTGCATTAAATACTTATGTATTTAAGGTATTAATATTTGACCAGAGATCAAACAAATACATAAAACAAAAAATTTAAAATGTTCAGTCAAATTCAGCCATTCTTTTGGCTAAGATGCACCCAGTGAATTCTGAACAGGATGGAGCTGCAGCTGGAAACTGCATTGACCAAATCAGTCAGGTCTAAGCTCCAGCCCCAGGCAGGACCGCAACTCACAGTGTGATCTTGGGCAAATCACTGAGCCTCTCTGGGCTTTATTTCCTCATCTGGACAAAGGAGGCTGGAACAAAGGATCGTTACGGACCAGCTTTGATAATAAGTGATGTTAGGGATGGGAGGATGAGGATTCTGTAAGAGCACAGGGACAGTGAGAAGGGGCAGTGGAGGGTGCAGGCCTGACCAACAGAGGGAATGAGGAGGCCGATGCCACAGTTCTGACTGAAAGCAAAAGGGAAAAGCCTCTCAAGTGCAGACACAGGCCATCTGGGTCACTCTAGCTCCTCTTCCATGGAGGCTGGGCATGTAGTCACTATCAAGGAAGGGAAGGAATCAATACAGCCTGGTTTCTACAGGAATAGGCAATGAACAGACTGTTTTGATAAGCAAATATACCATGTTACTCAAGAGAGTAAGCCAAACCACAGACAAAGGGGATCCAGCTCTTATACTCCAAGAGAAATGGCCACACAGAGGGTAGTATGTTGGTGGAGACAAGCAGGATATTGCTTAACTGGAAAATCAGCTAAGGAGGTTCTCAGAAATTAAGGGCTGGCAGCCATTTAAATAAAACCTAACCCTGCAAATGCAGGGTAACGACCATTCCTACAAACGAAGGGCCCAAGCATGGTGTTAAAGAACCCTAAGGTTGGAATTAGGGGAAGTGGTCCAGCTACCAGCTCTGTCTCGAGCGTGTCGTGGGATTCCGTGCAGAGGGACTCCTGTTCTGTTTACTCTAAAATGTAAAGACTAAACCAGATGCTCTCTGGGGTCTCCTTCAAATTTTCAATACTATGAGTCAGAATAATCGGGTGGGGTCTTATATTTTGCTAGCAAGAGTAATAATAATAAAATAAGTTAGAAAAAAGTTGCTTGAGATAGAAATCTCTAAAGGATGTGATGTTCTTTAGACGTCAGGCTTTTGGCCTCAGCAGGCTGCAGAACCAGCCTGCTCTCAGAGTTGGAGTCACTCTCCTGTTTTCTCAACTATATTTTCTCCTCTGCCAGAATCACAGATCTTATTTTTTCTGAATAGTTTTTTCCCCTTTGTTTGCTCCTATAAATCTTTCTACCAAATAAGGAAAAAACAAATTTCAGTAGGCTTTAGTTTTTATCCATCTCTCAAAACGTTTCCATCTGTTTCTTATCTAAAAGATAAACAACAGTAATCATTATGAGGCACATCACCTCTTCAGGTCAGCAGCATCTCAAAATGCTGTCTAAAAGCTGCATGGCAAAAAGACAGGAAACAAGAGTGTTGATAGAGGCCCTGAGCACCAGTGTTGGAGTTAGGCCCAAGTTCAAATACGGGCTCTGCCGCTTATTAGCACTGGACTACAGAAAGGTTACTTAACTGAGCTCTGAAATGAGGATACTAAAATCCACATTATGGGTTGTTGAGAGAGAGAATTAAAAGAGTTAATGTCTATAAAGAAACCACTACAGTATGCTTCATTTTTGTTATTATTACAGAGTGAACTTCACTAGACAGTACCCGCTCCTTCCCATGGTCTCCTCTGTCTCCCCCAGGATTTGCTGCTAAGAAAGTGTCAGGGAGGAGCTGCTGCCACGGCTCCAGCCACCTTCCCTCTGCCCTCTTATTCAAATAAATTGTTTTCTAAACATCAAGAAAAGCAGTGTCAACTGGGTAAATGAGGATCAGAAAGCTTTACGAGATTTTATAATTCCTAGTCTATACTAGGATTTCTCAGTTTCTTGGCCAGGGTTGTCAACCTAGCCGACAATTCCTAGGTTCCACCAGTTTTCTTTACAAGATTAAATGAAAACACTGACATTTTAACATGGTAAACTATTCCTCATCATGATTTTAAAGAGTAATATCGGGGCTTCCCTGGTGGCGCAGTGGTTGAGGGTCTGCCTGCCGATGCAGGGGACACGAGTTCGTGCCCCGGTCCAGGAGGATCCCACATGCCGTGGCACGGCTGGGCCCGTGAGCCATGGCTGCTGAGCCTGTGCGTCCGGAGCCTGTGCTTCGCAGCGGGAGAGGCCGCAGCGGTGAGAGGCCCGCGTACCGCCAAAAAAAAAAAAAAAAAAGTAATATCAGGCTGACCTAAAGGCCCTTTTCAAAGAAAAGAAGATATTAGAAAAGGCAGTCACAGATTCCACCCACCCTCTCCTCCAAGAACAATCCTGTGAAGCTACTGCTGTTCCAAACTGACCCATTTCTAAGCAATAATGTGTGGGTGACCCGGAAAACTGAAAAACTGCAGAAGGAGCCCAGTGAGAGGTAGCCTAATGCCAAAAGCAAAGTTAAGTTACCACCTGATGCTGGAATCTGCTGGAAGATAAGCTGGAAGAGCTAATCACTAATCAACTAATGGAGGAAATTCACTTCTGCGGGATGATTAAGAAGAAAGACAAAGAATTGAATTTGACTGGGAATTTGATGGCGGAATTACACCAAAAATGAGTATATGATTGGCATGTGGAGTGGGGAAACTGGTTAACCAGTATGTAAACAGACGAAGAGTGAGGAAGAGCTCGGAGAAAGGAGGAGCCAGAGCAGAGGCAAGAGTGCCTCCAGCCAGGGCAGAAAAGGCACAAAGGAAAACAGGCCACTGAATTTCATGGCTGCGTCAAGAGCTCCCAAAGTGATTTGCGTTACCCTTCCCCCTTTGCCCTCTCCTTTCCCCTAGTCCACCAGCCTGCTTCCAGACAGAGTCTGACTACCTGACGCTCGGAGGGGAAAACTTTTCCCTGGCACGGTGCTCAGGTGACTACTTACCTTGGGCTTCCCGTCTTTTGAAGGTAAGGTGGAAGGCCTGGCAGTGGCAGCAGCTGGGCGTTTGGGTGGGGCAGCCGGTGCTGAGCCTGAAGCAAGGCTCATGGGTTTTTTATTCGACCCACCAAAGGTGGTGGGAGCTGGCTGCTTAGGGAGAGAAGTGGGCTGTGTTTTGGCTTTCGATGTTGAAGTCTTTGCAGGTTGAGTGGTGGCCAAAGGCTTTAAGTTGATTTGTTGTTTTTTTTTTAAAGGCCAACATCAAACACACAGACAAGAATAAAAACAAATTTAAAAAAAAAGTATAAATTGCACAATTCAAAGTAAAATTATAAGCAATGAGGATAGATGCAACCGAAAATTAGCACTCCTTTCTTCTGAGCTCAGTAAATAGTGGAAAGATACCAGGATGCAGATAAAGAAAACTGGGAATTGTTTCTAATGACAGTGTCACAAATTCCAGCAGTTTGGCACCTGAAGATTTAAATTCAGTCATAACTTTAAACAATTAACTAACTTTCGAAGCCTGCAATAATTCTGTGAAGAAAGTCACCAGCAGGTGATTAGGCTATTTATTATCTGCACCTCTATGAGGCAATATCAACGTCCTGTTTTAAGCCCACACTAAAATGTGGCATTTGTACTTTGCAATAAGTACCAATAAATGTCTGGAGCTATGATCCACCTTAACAATCTGTGCTCCTTTTTCATTAACAGAGACTTCAGAATGGATTTCTGAATAATTCTGTAATTCCCTTTATTATTGTTGTTAAGGGAAGCAGAAACAACATCTACAGAACAGATATTCAAGATAATACGGTCAAAAGCAAAAGATTTAAAGGTTTGAGTTAGGCCACCATGGTAAAATGGGAACATAAAATATTTTCTAAGCATGTCCAAACTTGAGGAAGGACTCATAATAGCTCAGAAAAAAGAAATTTCATTTGCATGATTCAAGCAATAATAAGCAGAAGATAGTTTTTAAAAATTACAGCAGAAGACAACCTACCATTCTGGCACCTACCTTTGTTTTCTTCTCTGGGCTTGGTGGGAGCTCCTTGTTTGGAGGGGCGGTGATGTCATTTCCGGTCACACTCCCAGTAAGCCGTCCTTCTTCTAGTTTGGCTATTCCTAAAGGGGGAAAAGTTATGCTAAGCAAATGTTTTTCACAACCATTGCGAAAATGCAAGTCTTTGCAGAGACACACCACTAACTAGCACTTCATTCTGAGAAAATCCAGAGCTATGCTGCTGAAAGTGGACAAGACTCCCAAGTCCCCCTCACTGTGATGAAGGACAGTTTTAGACTCCAGAGATTCAAGCAGCCTGTGCCTGTGGAAAAGCAACTTAACTAGGATTTGCACAAATGCTCAGTGGAAGGAAATGGCCCTTGAAGTTTCGTTTCCCTTCCCTGGAGACCGGCAAAGGGGTTCTGTCACCCAACCACTAACTCCCAGAGCACATAGGGGACAAAAACCACTTCTACTAGAGTTTATCTCTTGGAATAAAGGTTGCTGAGAGATGGGATAAGAGCCAGAAGATCATCCAATGTCCTCCCCTTCCTTCCTTTCCCTGTAAAGCACCACTTTATGGAGGATGTGAGATGAACTTGATCTGGTTCTAGCAGTGACCCAGATTTCCAACAAGGCCGAGGAGACCCATGAAATCAGATCCAGGGCCAGAAATAAAGTCTACAGCCTAAGGCTACGCCCAGCAGCACCACTGTGGGGAGGTGACTCCAGATTTCAATAGGGCTATACCAGAAAGCATTAAAATACCATGAAATTTATAACCTGGGTGTGGGGAACACCTTTCTAACTGGCACAAAATCTAGAAGCCACAAAAGATAAGTTGGACTACAGAAAAATAAAAAGCTTCCACGTGCCCCAAAAAACAATAGAAAAAGTCAAAAGGCAAATGATAAACAGGAAAAAAGTATTGAACCTCACATCAAAGACACAGAGCTTATTACATAAACTACTCCTACAAATCAACCAACTCCTATAAAGGCCGAAAAGAAAATGAACAGGAAAAATGGCCGAAAGAATATGAACACAGTTTACAGAAAAAGAAATACAAATCACTTTTGAAAATATGAAAAGATACCATTTCTAACCTAACATATTGTCCAAAAGTCCTAAAATCTCAAAGTAGCTGCTGGGGATAATGTGAGGACATACGCTGCTGGAAGTGTGTGAAATGGTACAAATCAGATGCAGGGCAGTCTAGCAGTATCTCCGAAAATTACAAGTGCAAATAAATTCTAATCCACAATTATAATTTCTGGAAATTTATCTTAGAGATATATTCACATACCTGCAAAATAGCAAATGTGTATGGTCTTTCACCAGAGCATTGTTCCTAAAAGCAAAGGACTGAACCCAGAAGTCTGTTAACTGAAAACTGGTTAAAGCATATGGCAGAAGTATCAATGTTATCTCTGAATTTGAAAAAATAAACCATGACTGATAGGGAACGATCTCTACTCAGTGAAAAGAAAAGCAAGGCACAGAACAGTAGGTATAACATGAAACCATTGTCTAGAAAAGACAATACACTTCTATTGCAAATACACTTGTACATGCATTTTTAAAAAGTCTTTGGAAGAACGATGATGAAACAAAACAATGGTGACTTAATTTTGGGATGGGGTGGAGGACCAGGCACAAAACTAGGGAGCGTTAGGAGGCTTTATTTTAAAATTTTTTGTTTTGAAGTAAAGATTCACAGGAAGTTACAAAGGAATGTACAGGGAAGTTCTGTGTACCCTTTACCCAGTCTCCCCCAATGACACCCTGCATACACCGGGAAACTGATATTGGTACAATCTAGAGAGCTTATCTGACTTTTCCAGTTTTACATGCATTCATTTGTGTGTGTGTGTGTGTGCGCGCGCACGCGCGCGCGCGTGCACGTGCATGCAGGTATGCGGGTATGTAAGCAGTTCTATGCCGTTTTATCACATGTGTAGCTTTATGTAACCACTACTAAGAATCAAAACATATTAATTGTTCCATCACCACAGAGCTCCCTCATGTTACCCTTTTTTTTTTTAGAGCCACCCCACTCCCTCTGCCTTTCCAATCCCTTAAGCTCTGGCAGCTATTAATCTGCTTGCCATCTCTAAAATATTATTTCAAGAATATTATATAAGTAGAATCACACAGTGTCCTACTTTTTGTAGCTGGCCTCTTTCACCCAGCAACACGCTTCTGAGGTGCATCCGTGTTGTACATGAGAAGTCCATGGTGTGGCTGTACCACAGGTTAACCGTTCACATACTGTAGGACATTTTGGTTGTTTCTGGCTGTTTGCTATTATAAGTAAAGCTGCTACGAATATTTATTACAGGATTTTGAATAAAATAGGTTCATTGTTACTAAATGGAAATGCAATTAATTGTTTCTTACATGTTGATAGTGTATCCTGTGACACTGATAAACTCACTAATTAGTTCTAGGGGTTGTGAGGGTAGATTCCTTGGAATTTTCTACATAAACAATCATATCATCTACAAACACAGCCAGATTTTTTTCTTCCTTTCCAATCTATATGCCTTGTATTTCCTTCTCGTGCTTTACTGTGCTAACCAGAACCTCCAGTACTATGTTAAATAAGAGTGATGACAGCAAGTATCCTTGCCTTGTTCCCAACTTTAGGGTGAAAACATGTAGTCTTTCACTATTAACTGTGATGTCAGCTGTAGGTTTTTTGTAGATGCTCCTTCTCAAGTTGAGGAAGTTCTCCCTCTATTCTTTGATGAGAGTTTATCACAAATGGGTGTTGGATTTTGTTGAATTTTATGTGTTTATGATTTTTCTTCTTTAGACTTTTGATATGGATTACACTGATTGGTTTTTGATTATTGAACCAGCCTTGCATACCTGGAATAAATTCCACTTGGCTGTTGTGTATAATCATCTTAATATACTGCTGGGTGTGATTTGTTAGTACTTTGTTAAAAATTTTTGCATCTAAGTTCATGGGAGATATCAGTCTGTAATTTGTGTGGTACTGTCTTTGCCTGATTTTGGTTATCAGGATAATACAGACATCATATAATGAGTTAGGAAGTGCTCCTTCCTCTTATATTTTCTGGCAAAGAATGTGTAAAATTGGTGTCAATTATTCTTTAAATGTATGGTAAAATTCTCCACTGAAACCATCAGAAGCTTTTTAATTAAAAATTCAATTTCCTGGGCATATACCCAGATGAAACTATAATTTGAAAAGATACATGCACCCCTATGTTCATAGCAGCACTATTTACAATAGCCAAGACATGGAAACAACCTATATGTCCATCAACAGATGAATGGATAAAGAAGATGTGGTGTGTATATATACAACAGAATATTACTCAGCCATAAAAAAGAATGAAATAATGCCATTTGCAGCAACATGAATGGACCTAGAGATAATCATACTACGTGAAGTCAGTCATAAAGAGAACGACAAATATCATATGACATCACTTATACGTGAAATCTAAAATATGACCCAAATGAACATATCTACAAAATATAAACAGACTCACAAACACAGAGAACAGACTTGTGATGGCTAAAGGGGAGGGAAGGATTGGGAATTCGGGATTAGCAGACGCAAACTCATATATCTGGGATGAATAAACAAGGCCCTACTGTATAGCACAGGGAACTATATTCAATACCCTATGATAAACCATAATGGAAAAGAATATTTAAAAAGAATATATGTATATATGTATAATGGAATCACTGCTGTACAGCAGAAATTAAAACAACATTGTAAATCAACTATACTTCAATAAAATAAAAAATTTCAGTTTCTTTAATGGCTCTTCAGGTTACCATCGTGGTTGAGTTATGGTAATCTGTGGGTTTTAAGGAATTGGTATATTTCTTCGAAGTTATTGAATTTGTGAGGATAAAGGTGCTCCTAGTATTCCCCTATTATGCTTCTAATGTCTGTAGTGATATCCCCTGTTCCTGTTATTGGTTGGTTGTGTCTCTTTTTCACCTTTGTCAGTTTTGTTAAAAGTTTATCAGTTGTGTTGGTTTTCTTTAAGAACCAGCTTTTGGTTTAATAAACTTTCTTTTCTGTTTTATTGTTTATAATTTCACTGATCTCTGCTTGTTTTGGATTTATTTCATTCTTTTTTTTAGTTTCAGAGTGTTGATCTGAGACCTTTTCTCTTTTCTAATGTAAGTACTTACTGCCACAAATTCCCCTCTCAGTACTGCTATAGCTGCATTCAACAAATTTTGACATGTTCCTTTTTCTTTCTCTTTTTCTTTGGCTGCGCCACAAGGCTTGTGGGATCATCCCCCAAACAGGGATGGAACCCCGGCCCCGGCAGTGAAATCGCCGAGTCCTAACCACTCTACCACCAGGGAACTCCTGATATGTTCATTTTCATTCAGTTCATTGTATTTTTAAAATGTCCTCTGAAAACTTCCTCTCTGACCCATGGATTATTTAAAAGTATACTGTTTAATTTCTTAGTGACTGAAAATTTTCCTGTGGTCTTTCTATTATTGGTTTCTCGTTTGTTCCATTATGGTCAGGCAATATATTCTGCATGATTTCAATCGTTTAAATGTATTGAAGTTTGTTTTATGACCCAGGATCCATCTTGGTGCGTGTTCCACAGGCACTTGAAAAGAATCTACAAACAATAAATGCCGGAGAGGGTGTGGAGAAGAGGGAACCCTCTTGCACTGTTGGTGGGAATGTAAATTGATACAGCCACTATGGAGAACAGTACGGACGTTCATTAAAAAACTAAAAATAGAATTACCGTATGACCCAGCAAGCCTACTACGGGGCATATACCCTGAAAAAACCATAATTCAAAAAGACACATGGGGTTTCCCTGGTGGCGCAGTGGTTGAGAGTCCGCCTGCCGATGCAGGGGACACGGGTTCGTGCCCTGGTCCAGGAAGATCCCACATGCCACGGAGTGGCTGGGCCCGTGAGCCATGGCCGCTGAGCCTGCGCGTCCGGAGCCTGTGCTCCGCAACAGGAGAGGCCACAACAGTGAGAGGCTCGCGTACCGCAAAAAAAAAAAAAAAAAAAAAAGACACATGTACCCAAATGTTCACTGCAGCTCTATTCACAACAGCCAGGACATGGAAGCATCCTAAATGT